AACAATTTCTCATTACACGTCCTTTTCATCCTACAAATATCAGTGCACTAGTACTTCCCCCAGATCCTCTAGTCCAAGTTTTCTGCAGAACAAAAACAAAAGAAAAACAAAACCCCACCTTCAGCATTCTTGGTCCTCACATCTCCTCAGCTGGTTCTTTTCACCCTCCTTGTTGATTTACAAATCTAAGTCCATTATAATACCAGTGCAAAGTTATCCCTCCAGGCTAGTATTTTAGCCATACCCATATCTCACTTCCCCCTTCTCTACTGCAGTCTTGACAAGGCAATAAAACAAACCACTCTTGAAAGTCCTTACAACTGTGTCCTACACTTCCTAACTTCTGTGACAAGACACAGGATGATTGTTTCTTCTCTCCACTTCCCACATCACTGCCATTAGTACCTAAGGATATCTACTAATCTTCCTATCGCTCCTTTCAAAGGAGAAAGATTCCACTGAACATCAAAGAATGAGAAAACACAGTATCTTCCTTGACACTGATGGTTTTTTTTGGAGATGTTTACATTCTTATCCATGACTCAGCAGCTGGTTCTTGTGATTGCATTCAGTACTCAAGGCCAGGTTTGACAGGGCTTTAAGCAAACTGATCTAGTAAAAACTGTCCCTGTCCATGGCAGAGGGGTGGACTAGATGATCTTGAATGGTCTCCTCCAAACCAAACCATTCTGTGATTCTGGGATTGTATCTTGTTTTGTTTATCACAGCAGCTTTGATGACACAGGTGTATTTTATACAGTATTTATGTTGCACACTCAAGACTTCCGTGTGTATAACACACAAGTTGTGTTGTTTATCTCTACATTTTCCTGCACCGCTCTCAGCCTTGCCCTGTCACTGAGGCCTCTCTGTGGTATTACATTACAATAAAATGATCGAGATCTGAGACTCAAACCATATGTTCTCCTGGATCCAATTCTCACCATATTGTCCTAGACTGGCAGATGAATCCAGCCCTCCACTCTTGCAGTGACTGAGAGCGACAGGACCATATCAGTAGTGCTAGAACCAGACTTTCAGGTAGAAAGGTTATTAAGGCACAAGGGCTTGTCCAAATCATTTCAGTGGAGGAGAAGCCTGTATGCCCTTATGAGGTTGCGAGCTGTGCTGGCAGTGGTATATGCCTCCAGTAGGGTCTCCCATGCCAGACAGGTCAAAACTGAAGGGTCAGCTAAAAACGTGTCCATGGGCAGTGTCGTGGTTTTGTCCTGGCTCAATTTACTTTTATACCCCCACATACAATTATTATCAGTTGAGAGAAGGTTTATGCAGACAAAAAGAGACTGAATTGAAAAAAAAGTATGAGTATTTATTATTAACAAACTAAAACTAAAGAATTATATCTACAACAATTCTACTTGAGTAAAAGGTACTATGTATTTACAAAAGATACTTTTCCCCCCACTTCCCTTTATATCAGTCCAAGGAGGAGAAACAGTCTTTTTTTGTTCTCAGAATTCCAGCTCTCTCTCTCTCCAGTAACTGCAGCACTTTCGTCGCAGTTGGAACTTCTTTATCTCTCTCTCATTCTGTGTTGGCCTCCAGGGCTGGGCTTACCCCCCTCCTGGGCTAAAACCGAAGGCTGAGGGTTACCCAGGTCCTGAAGGGTTTCCTTCCATAGACTTGCAAGGGGACACTTGCTTACTATGGATCTTCTTCCACAGGGTTACAGGGGATAATGGTTTAAGAGTTCACCCCTGTTTCCCTATGGAGGTCCCTCCCCATGGGAGAACAGTCCTTGATTGACTTCTCGGCATGGGTCCAGTCTGGATCCCTTACTCGGATCCCAATATCCCACCTGAGCCATTTTCTGCTCCAGCGTAGGTTCTCTCTAGCACCAGCAGCACGGATCCCACACATGGATCCCAACATCCCTACCTGAACCGCTTTGTGTTCCAGCGTAGGTTCTAATACCCGTCAGGGTCATAAATCTTCAACAGCAGCAGCATGGATCTCTCACTGAGATCCCAAGCTTATTTGAGCCGTCTCGCTCCAGCATAAGCATCGATCCCTTCGAGGGTCACAAAGTCTTTAACAGGACTCTGCCTCATCTGAGCCGCTTTTACTCCAGCATAAGGCTTTCTCTGTTAAAGTCACAAATCTCTGGTGCATCCACAAGCTCCTCTGTGAGCCGCATGGGGGGTCTTCACCCCAACAAACTTCTACAGGTGGCAGGGTTTTATTTTTCAGTCTTTACCCTGCTGAAGGGAGGGAGAGCGAAAGGGAGAAAAAGCAGTTCTCCCCCCTTCGAACTTTTCTTCTCTTTCCTGTGCTGCCAGCTTCGACCTTGAAAGTCTTGTTATCTCATGGCTGGAATTCTTCTGCAGCGGTTTCTCGTCTAAGCAGTTCATCTTTTTAAACTTTTTTTTTTTCACTCTCTCACAAGAGAGAAGGGAGGCTTCAGTGCTGCACTCTGCCTCCCGGCCCAAGCCGGGGAGGAGGGGGCCTTGGCCCTCCTCGGGCCCACCGCGTCTCTCCTACATGGCTGCTGCTTCTAATTTCAACTGCGCAACAACCTTCTCTTCCGTTTTCTTAAAGATGTAATTAGCAAAGGCGTCATTGAACTTTTTGATTGGTTTTTTGTCCGGAAATCACCTGGACAAAACCATCCTCAGCCCCAGGGATGGGCTGGCGGGCAAAACCACGACAGGCAGGATGGGCTCACTGGCCTTCTGACAGTCATCCTAGGAGAAGGACAGCTCTAATTTCAAACCTGGGTAGATGGAGCTCGCTTAGCCCTGTAAGGCCATCCATCCAAGAGAAGGATACTCTAAGTAAACCTCCGTCCTGAGGACCTCGCTGTCACCGTCCAAGCTTGCTAGGCTGTGGCAGATGAACCTCAGGAGTAAAGGGTGGGACCAGTTCTGTGCATGCTGAGCCTCGCCTAAAAAATCCGCTGTGCAGGCTTGAAGGATTTCTTAAGGCATAGCCCTCCTGCTTAGTAAAACACAGATCTGTAACCTTCTTATCATTCCTAGAACTGTTTCCCAGCTGCAAGCTGATACAGAGATCATCCTTATAAACCAACTGGTAACCTTCAGCTTGAACCCAAGTGGTGAAGAAAGCTGAACAGGGAAGGGAAAATGCTTGTAGATGATCAGAAGCACAGATCACGCGTTGCTGAGTCAGCTGATAGCAGGACACAAACTTTTTTGGTTCACCTGGAATTGAAGAGTCTTGATCCTGTGGATACAGAGTACCCATCTCTGGGGACTCCTCTCCTTCAGTGGTGCTGGCATGTCCCCTCCCAGGCTGGCAGCCTGGCTGTGCCTCTCTCTAGATCACTCCCTGTTCCCCATTTGGGGTTCTATGACGTCAGCTCTGAGGTCAGGCAGGCAGGGCCCCCTCCCAAACACAACAGACTATAGATAGCTGCCGCAGCAAATGCTTTTCATTAAGTAACCCCCCTCCTCAGCCCAGCACGGGTGGGAGCAGCAAGAGGCCCCTGTGCTGCTCTGCTACATGTTTTCTGTTATTTGGGGTGAGCTGTGCATTCCTCACAAGCTTTGAATGTCATGCAGAGCCCCAGGGGAATCCTCAGAGGAGTGGGAGGAGAGACCACGCAGGGGAAGCTGCCTGAGCACACCAGGGAAGAGGCACCCCCTGCCCATGTCAGGCTGAGGAGATGCCTAAAGCAGAGGGATGTACCAGGCCTGTGCCAGCACCCCCTCCCACACATCAACCAGCCCCTCAGAGACGGATTTAAAAGCCTTCTACTTCCAACCAGCAGAACTTACTCAGCTAGCCCTAGTCTGCCAAAGCAGACCATGAGGTGATAAATCTGTCTCTGTGTGCCCAAAACGTAAAGAAACAACTTCAGATTAAGACTGTGAATCAAGAGTAGCTGGATATAAATCAGCCATTAAGACATGCAGTAAGAAATCTGGAGATTTCGAGCTGTTAGGGCAATCAGGCTCCAAAACACCCTTCCAAACTAAAAAGGACATAGAAAAAAAATCCCATCTGCTTCCAAATGAAAGCCTAATAAAATTGTGATTACAGGATTTTTTATCTGTGACAGCTGAGGATCACACACACATGGACCAAGAATGGCTGCACAGTGCCTTCTCATCCTGTACCATGGAAATCTGACCTGGACTCCCTTCCTGGAGCACACGTGGTGTCTTGTACTAAGGACAGAAAAATAAACTCCAAGCCCGCCCCCCTCTCCCGCCCCCAAACTATTTGTGTCTGTGTTTGTGTGTTAAACCCAAGATGCCCAGTTCATGTTTCAGTGTCAGCTCACAGAGTTTGCACGGAACATTGTTATGGATATAGTATGGATATAGAAATGTAGGGCTGGAAAGTAGTTCCTGGAATGGCTGGAGGCAGTGAGCTCAGTAGCCACGCCCCAATTCGCTGCCACGCATTTCGGTCATAAATACATCTCCGGGAAAAGCTTCCATGTGGTTGAGGAAATGCCAGCACCGGGCTGAGGACTGAGCTTTACGGTCCCTGTTATAAAAATACACACGGACCATTCTCTTTAAAGTGACATTTTGAGACTGTAACTTGTTTAAAGCACAGTATACCAGTTTGTGGAGTGCAAGATGTATAGAGATGTTGAATAGGACAGCACGTGCAGCACTCGTGGCATCTCACGCAGATGAGGCTACCACGGCTCCTCTCTAACTCTAATACATATCCTAAAGAGAAATAACACGAAATATTCACCACGGCTGCCACAGACAGTCCCCGGCCTTGCCTATTTGTCCTCGGCATACCCAGCCTAGGGACCCCAGTCCGGGGTCCCAACAGAGCCATGTCCCAAATGGCAGTGCCACCAGTGCCACCTCTGCTCTCCATGCAGCCCAGGGGACAGAACCCGGGCCAAACTACTCGGGGTCCTGCTGCACTGACCCGTTCCCATAGCCTGCACTTCTGTAGGGATCCCCGCCCCGATCCCTGCCCATAGCCCTGCTCATGTCCCTGCCCACTTCCCCGCCCCATGCCCGGCGCGGCCTGCATGGCGTCAGTGCCTGCGCCGGACGCTGGGCCCGTCTGCGGTGGGCGAGGCGCGAGCGGGATGAGCCGCGGGGTGAGTGCGTGGCCCTGGTGCGTGTCCCCCGGTGATCCCGGGTAGGAGTGATCCTCCGGGCCCGGGGGCGGCTCGGAGCGGGGTTTGGAGCGGCGCTCCGCTCGGAGCCCCGCCGGCGCTGCCCGGCCCCCCCATCGCGGTGCTGGTCGGAGGCGTCAGCGCCGTGCCATTGTCCCGGCAGGTCCAGGGCACCGGCGGCAGCAGCGCCGTCAGCAAGTGCTCGGCGGCAGCGCGGGGCTACATCCAGGACCGGTTCCAGCGGCTCCTGGCGGGGCGGCAGCGCCGACGAGCGCCGCTTATCCACCGGTGAGGAGGGGGCGCTGCGCGGGGCTTTTGGCTGCTCTGTCCCGGGTGAAATGCGCCACCGGACTGGTTCCTAACCCCGGTGTTTAATGCTGCTGAAAGCTACTTTAGATTTGAAAGCATTCTACTAATGTAAGCACATCAGTAGATTTCCCATTAACTCTCCTGACCGTTAAAATTTCAGTAAGGTATTTGGTGGCTCCAGGAAGCAGGATTATCTTTTGAATAAGCAGTATCTGACCAGGAGCTCTTCTCCGGAGCTTTGCAAGACAAACATGTTTTAATGTGTGTGTGCAGAGAGTTCTAAGCTGATGTGGTGGTGGAGTTTACATAATTCGAGGCAAATAGTTTAAAGCAATTCAAATAACTGTGAATTGCCAAAGGAGTTTCGTTCAGAGCAAAAAACCAAACAGTGGTGTTCAAGTAGAAGCTTGCAGGCCTATAAAGGCAGGTGTGGCTTATTAAGTCAGGAAGCTGAGCCTGTGTTCATTTGCCACACAACATTGGCAGGCCAAGCTGAATTCATAGAAATGGTTGTGTATTGTAGTTATCAACACTGCCATCATGAATATTGGGACTCTTAGACTATCTGGTGAAATATTTGTCCCTGCAAGGAATGGAGGTGAAAACATGCTCGTTAAAGGGATGATAGGAGCTGGGATATAGCTGGGTGGATATACAATGAAACCAACTAAAAGAGAATGCCGAGGAACAAGAGGCATCAGTCCCTGCCAGACTAGGAAACGATAAACGCTTCCTAGGAGTTAGACTTAGTTCCATTTATTCAGAAATCAGAGAACAGAAGTCCTCTCCTGACTTTGCTGCTCTTCCTTTTTTTGTTCCCCTGTCACTGCATTTGTATACATTCATTTTGTTGTTATAGCATCTGATTTGGGGCAGGAGCTCAGGTATTGGCCATCTGCATTGCAGGGGAGCCTCCTCACTTATACATTTTCACTCAGTGAATATTTACTTAGGCAAAACAGAATAGATCCAGCTGGGATATCTGCACGTTTTCTTGGGGTTATCCGTAGTCTTGATGGTTAATACTCTCACTGAGTGCAGGAGATCTGTATTTGTTAGGAAGCTCGAGAAATGAGAAATTCATCTCCCAGTGCACATCTGTAAATGAGGGGTTATTGGGTAGAAGCTGAGAGAAAAAACCTTTTATTTTTCTGAAATGGAAGATGCCAGTGCTGGAGAAATCGGGTTCCTGGACAGCAATTCCAACTGAATTTCTCTCGGCAGGGGTTATTACATCCGCGCCCGTGCTGTAGATCACTGTGTCCGGGACTTCCTACTGAAGACACAAAGCCACCCTAGGACACAGGTGTGTTTTCTCTGGGGGTACTGGCAGGTTCCACTATATGTGTGAAAAGTCCCTCTGGCATCTGGGCACTGCAGTAAGTTGTTAGTGCATCTGTTGGGATCCTTTCCCAGGAGGGCACAGAGAATCTTGACTGGCACTACTGTGGATCTCCATGTGTCACTTTAGCAGAAATACCTGGGAGAGGGCAATATCCACACAAAATTCTTCTGCCCCTTGCAGGAGGTTGCCTGATTTTGTCACTCTGCAGATAATATTGAATATTTTTCACACCTAGATGCTCAGGATGCTGCTAGAGTTGAGCATAACTTCTTCTGACACTTTCTCTGCAGGTCCTGTCTTTAGGTGCTGGCTTTGACTCCTTATACTTCCGTTTGAAGGACATGGGTCTTCTGCATCATACTGTGGTATATGAGGTGGATTTTCCAAGTGTGGTGTGCCAAAAAGCTACTCTGATCAAAAGAATGGAAGAGTTGTCAGCACTGGTGGGAGACACTGCAGGGGAAGGATTAGGTATGGTATTTATGGAAGGTTTTTTAGGTACTAAATGTTTAGAAGAGACAAACATTCCTTCAGCTGTCAAAAAGTGAGAGATGATAGTGAGGGAACTATGAAGCTGAAAATGAAAAGCATGTTCATTTTATAAAAAACATTGAAACAAATAATTTTTAAGCATTAGGAGATAACAAGAAGCTGCCAGAGTGGATTTGTCAGGAGCTGATTGTATCAAACCAAGGTCTGTTTCTTTCTGTTACAATTTCTGAAGTCCTGTGTCCAGGTTTGAGCTCACTGGTACAAAGACAGTGGCAAACTGCAACATGTCCAGTGGGAGGTGATGAGGGTGATGAAGCGATGGAGCTGGTGGTGTAGGAGGGGAGACTGAGATGACTGGATTTGTTTAGCCTTAAGGGAAGGAGGTTACTGCAGTCTTCAGCTACCTATTGGGAGAGGGTAGAAAAGATGGAGCCAGATTTTTTTTGGAGACACAGAGCAAACAGTCAAGGGACAATGGTTGAAAGTTGCTTTGTTAATGATTTGGTTTTGGTTGAAAAGGTCAACAAACCATAGCTTATCGTATTCTGGTGGAGTACAGAGGTATGATAATACTTGCAGATCATAAACTGGAACTTGCGAGGATGATGATCTGTGAGTCAGGGCATGGTGTTTGCAGAGCTGGCATGTATGAGTTCAGAACTCACTGCCATTGTACAGAAATGAAATCTGTTTAGCAAGCAAACAAACCAAGCCTAAGAAACTTGAGAAGGGTTTTCTGGTTGTGAGGCAAACCATTTGAATTCTATCAAAGCAAGGTGCTTTCTTAGCCTAAACTGTAAGGCATATAATTGAGAACCTTTAAGGTTTGATTCTGAATTACAGTGGTTCTAGAAAAATGTTCTTAAAGTAAATATGATGAAGTTTTGTTGTTATAGTAAATGTAATAATTCTATGAGAAATCTGTAGGTGAAATTTGCATTAAGAATAATGGAATTTTAGATCTGCTTTTAATGGATCATTTGGCACTATCCCTTTATGGTTCATGTAGTGATGGGGATTTTCCTGTACACGTCCCAGGGAAATACAGTTGATAGACACAGTCTTATGAGTGATTGCCTGGGGTTTTTATATTCCTGTTTATCCCTTTTGCTCTCAATATTGCAGAAGCACCATAGTGAGATTGCATCATTTTTGTCTTCTAGGAGCCATTACCTTTTCTGGAGAGGATTATAAACTACTGGGAGTGGATTTATCAGAGCTGTCTGAGCTGGGGAGAGCCCTGGAGGAAGCAGGACTGGACAATGAAATCCCCACCCTATTCATTGCAGAAGTGGTGCTCACCTACATGGAAAACAGCAGGTCAGTTGGGTTCTCCTCCCATAGCCAGGTGACCTTGGGCTGGGAGAGCTGCTCTTTTAAAACTAAACCTTGGGAATTCTGTGAAGTCCCAAATAGCTCCTTATATCATCTTTGTGATGGTGTAATTGATGTCTATGTGATATCCTAAAAGGGAGGGAAGAAAAAAGAAAAATCTCAAATGAGGGATTTTGTTCTCTCAGAGAATTTTTTGTTCTTCTCATCCCCTCATTGTCTGCGCAGGTGGGGAGATGTTCTTAAGTCCCCAGCACAGCACTCTCATTTGTGTATTGCCACTTGTCAGTATGCCTCAATAGCAGCTTCATGGTGTTGCAGGAAGATGTACTGCATATGTGTGGTGATGGGGGAGCCCTCAGTTATTTAGTGTCTTACGTGCAGCCTCCCAACAGGTCAGATGCCTTGATTCAATGGGCAGCAGAGCGTTTCCCTCGGGCCTGCTTCCTGCTGTATGAGCAGGTGCACCCAGAGGACCCCTTTGGACGTGTCATGCAGCAGCATTTCAGCCAGCTGAACTCTGCACTTCACTCTCTGACACAGTACCCTGACTGTGAGGCACAGCAGAAGCGCTTTTTGGGAAGGGTAAGCACCTGCATCTCTAGGTCGTGCACAAAGCGTGACTGACCTGATAAAGATTGGAACTTTCAGGGCTTGGTCAGTGACGGGTTGAAGAAACAGAGCTGAGGCTGAGGCACTGCCTTCTCTAGTAGCATGACTAGTCATTTGAAGATGCTTCCAGCCAGCTTGCAGCCTACTTTCTGATACAGGATTAAGGCACGATGGGTTCCTCAGAGACTTTTGCTATAATAAATTAAGTTCTTAAGAGCATTAGAGATAAGAGATCTATTTTCACCAGATTTTGGGCTGCTGTTATTTTAGCTGGACAGTCTTAGCAGCTCATGCAAGTGTTTAATTTAGGGTCTTTGTTTTCTTATGGGAAGTGAGTTTCTGTCCTTCCAGAGGTGATTACTTTGAGGGATTTCTCTTTTAGGGCTGGACTGAGTGCAGTGTCATGGATATGAATGAGTTTTTCACCTGTTGTATTCCAGAAGATGAACAGCAAAGAGTGCAGGCTCTGGAGCCTTTTGATGAGTATGAGGTAACCCTCCTTTATTCTAAAGATCAGCAACCTGGCTTTGATGCCATAAGGTGTCTGCAGTTTCTCATGGTCGCAGTTCTGTACAGGGCTGTTGGGGTTCAGGTGTTCATGGAGGTGGAAAGGACCCTGGTCCAGCTTGGTTAACACAGAGGCTGCAGGGAGCTCCAGGTGAAGCTGAGGCAAGGAGCATGGGAAGTAGGCTCTCCTTGATGTTAGAAAAGCTTTGCGTTCCTTCCTCAGTGAGCAGTCTCTCAAGGAGACAGTCTTGGCATAGCAAACTGGCTGGTAGTATGGGAGATGTTTTAGATGTTAAAAGTTTGCATGGATTTAAGGGGCTTTGATGAAAGAGAAATACCTTAAGGATTACTGGCTACATAAAAACACACCTGATGTGATGTTCCTGACTGCAAGTGGTGGGTCGCATTCTTAGGGACAGTAGATGCACTTGTCCTGCTCTCTTCCATTTGTGTCACTACTTTATTTTTTGTCATTGTTGGATACAGGCTACTAGTTTCAGATACTTTTTGGTCTGATTTTGTACAGCCGGTCCTATATTAATGATTGAAATTCAACTCTGACTTTATTCTTTGCCATTTTTATGTTAACTACTGGCAAAGTTTCTGACTATTTGAAATCTAGAAGTGAAGGTAAGTGCAAGGTAGTGAGTAACTTTGAGCTAAGTATCCTGTGAAATGCTTACCAGAAGTTTTCCTTTTGATTTTGTGGTTCCCTTCTTATAATTCTGGAAATCCAATAACTGCAGCATGAAAATAATTTAATATGCTTGCATTTATTTTGCCAACATGCAGGATATACTCTGCTACGTGAATGCAAAAGTGATGACTGAAAGTGCTGGCAGACTTGCAAAGTGGTTTAGAAATGTGTACAAGAATTGCTGTAGATCCAGGCCATTGCTCATACAGTGGGGAAGGTAAAGACTTGGTATTGTTGCTGGAAACATGCAATAAGAGTAAACGATGTGATAACAGAGAGCTCTACAATTAGCCTTTGAGAGAAAGATTAAGTAAGATCCAGGTCTTGCTGTAAACAAGCTTGGTCAAATTAGGTAAGAAATATAAAATACACACTTAGTGCTGAGGGAGACATTTTTTGAATAATTTGCCTAGGGACTAATAGTGGATCCTTCCATTTTCAGTATTTACATTAATTTCTGGATACCACTTTTCAAAAGATGCTTCTAGTAGAGGTTGGGGCAATGATGCTGATAATGGGGTTTATTTTGCCTTTTAAATTCATGTTTGTGCTTTGTAGTTGTATAGCTGGCTGAATATATCCCACCCCATGGGAATGGACGTACTCAATTCCCTAGTGTCCATAAAGGCCGGGGTGGACTCTAACATTGCTGCTGACTTCCTGTATTTTCCTGTTGCTTGTGCTTTTGCCTCAGAATGATTCCAAGGCCAGACTGAAAATTATATGTATCTTTATGTATTATCATCCAGCACAGACCATGTTGCACGTTTGAACATTTGTGATTTCTTTGGATTCACTTATATTCCATGAACCTTAAGAAACCTTAATCCCTCTGGTATAGAGCCCTCGCTCTTTCTGTGATCAGAACTGGGAAGCATAAAGAAACTGATTCCAAAAAGAAAAGCTTCTTCATGCAACTTATAGTTAAGCTCTGGAACTCATTCCTACAGCATGTAGGAACAACACCCTACAGCATGTTGGACATGTTAAAAGTCTATGTGAGTTCAAAGAACAAGTGAATGTATTTCATGGATGAGAAATCCATCAAGGATTGTTCAATAAAAAGACACAGCCTCTTGCTTAGAAGATCCCTGAGCTGTAAATTTTTGAAGATTGAAGTGAGGAATGTATTTACACACCTTCTCTTTCTCAGATTCAGCCTTAGATCTCTGATTTTGACACCTATAGTGTAACACTGCTTTGGTGTTTGATTTGATCACCCTGGCTGTTCTGAGATCCTTACTGCTTCTTGCTCTGAGATTTTGAGGGGGATTGTTTTTTGTTTTTGTTTTTTCTTTCCTTTGGGCTTGCTACAGGAATGGCATCTGAAATGTTCTCATTACTTTGTGTTGACTGCGTCAAAGGGGATGGATCCTTCCTGGACTCCGTTGTTACCCAGTGTGACAGGTACACTCCAAACTAGTTTTTACAGTATGTTTTTGTCTCATGCAGGTTATTCTCTGAGAGGTTTTATGAGTCAGTGAAATCCTGGAAGGGGCAGATGGAATTCTGCTGTCTGGTAGCTTTCTCCGCCCTTTTAATAATGCTGTTCAGGGCCACAGCCTGACACTGCTGGTTCTGATCAGTTCCATTCTTTCAGTTTATTGAGCTTTCTAGTCTAAACAGCATGTCCTTCTGTTTATACATAGGTCCCCCCAGTACCTGCCAACCTGCTCTGCTCTTCCTGCTGTTTTTGGGATCTCCCTTTTAAAGTGTTTCCTGCTTGCCTCCATATGTAGCTCTCTGAACCATTCTCTCCTTCTGGCTTCCAAAAGGTTGTTCTGTTTTCCTTATTACCCTGTCCAGCAGAGCACTCAGGAGCCTGTCATGAAGCTATGCTTTGCTTTGTTATCCCTTGTACCTGTAGTATTTCTGTTTGTGAAATGCTTTTAAATCTGTATGTCACTTTTTTTAGATGGGAGGAAAGTGGTATAGTGGGGAAAAGCCAAGACCAAGACTGTGTTTCCATGATAAGGATTTGGCAGCAGTAGCAGTCCAAAGAATTCCTGCTTTTGGCTGCTTTCTTCCTTTTTCAGAGTGGAAAGCAGAAGGTTGTTTTTAACCTGTTTCATATCATTAGTCTTCACAGATTGGTACCACAAGTAGTTCTATCTGCAACAGAAAGTTGAAGTCTGTGTTTTAGGGAGCAAGAAAAGCAGCTGAAAAAGGATGGGGCAGGATGGCATTTCTGAGGCCAGCGAGGCCACTGAAACCATAGTGTTGTGTCTTGATTAGATCTGAAAACATGAAATTGAAGCTCAGTGAATGTGGGTGTGGTTACATATACTGTGTGATTGTCACTGGTCCTTGTGAGGCTTTAAATTCTTAAAGGCTCCTAAATGTATAGTATCTATCCATAAGTTAAAGTCCCTTTGCTTAACAGACTTTATTGCAGTCAGGACACTTGATTCATTAGAGACAGGTGTAGGGTCTTTCTGCTGCTGTCTCTGTTGTATTCAAAACTGATAGCAAAAGCCTTCAAAGTCTGATAAATGTCCATGATTAGATATTTTTTACTGGAAATGCAAAAGGTATGTCTCTAATACGAGTAAATGCCCCCAGTTATCCTCTGAGGTAGATTTGGGTCCCTGTTCAGGAGAGTGCAACTACTAAATCTTCAAAACAGATCATGGTAAGTATATTTTCTGATATGGAAAAACTCCTCAGTCTTAAAAAGATCCATCTTTAGAAAGACATTTAATCCCAAGGAGATGAAATTTCTTACTTCATCAAATGCTAAACTAGGGTCTTGTAATAAACAATATTCAGTACAGGCAGTTTTTTGAAAAATGGAATGAGAGCCACTTCTCCACCTCATCATCTCTAATAACACAAGAATAAAGGTCTTTATTAAATCACAGAAGACACAAATTCCATTTTAAGTGAGAGATAATGTATGCCATCTTTTCAAGATGGTCTTCTCGGGAAGCAAAAATCGAGAAGCAAGTTGACAGAGCACACAGACAATCTGACATGCCCTAGAAATCAGGCTGTAATGGTTAAAACTATCAGTTTTCTTTTAATCAGAGATTAAAAGAAAACATATGTTGGTGAGCCAGAATCCTGTGCTGAGAGTTTTTTTGTTAAGGGGTATAGTATTTAGAGAGAAGATATTTAGATAACTGGAAATATTCTCTTATAGTAGGACCACTGGAATTTATGTAGATCATTTGTCATGCTTCAGAACTTTATTTCAGTGCTTTGTGAAGGTAGGATCAAAATCTAGCAAGAAACTTTGAAATCAACTTCCTGACTTTTGTCCTTTCTCTGCTGTTCTTTGCAATTAATGTAGCCAAATATTGTCTTAACCAGACCAGCACCAAAAGGTGCTCCTTTGGAAGGCACTTCAGTGGTTCATATCTTGCTGCAGCAGCTTAGGACACTGCAGGCTCTTTGCCAGTCTTACCTCCGCCCCACGAAAGCAGTCGCAGAACTGTCAGGAGCTGAGTAAGCAGTAAGTAGAAGTTAAAGTTGGCACAGTGATAGTTTTAACCATTACAGCCTGATTTCTAGGGCATGTCAGATTGTCTGACGTGTGCTCTATCAACTTGCTTCTCGATTTTTGCTTCTCGAGAAGATCATCTTGAAAAGATGGCATACATTATCTCTCACTTGAAATGTAGTCCTTGGTTTGTGTTTGTGTGTAAGTTCTTTGGTTCTCTCTGGCTTACAGTTCCTCACCATGCTGGTCCTGTTGGAATGGCTGGGAGCATCCCTGCAGCAGTGTGTGCAAGGCTCTCAGGAATTCCTGGCCTGAGACGTTACGGTCACTGCTCTGTTCTTATAAAACCCGACGTGATTCTCACCACTGGAGGCTTTGGGGAGGAGGATGGACAACACTGCCGCCTGAGAAATTTCCATGTGCTGAGTAAGCATGCAGGCTACTGGAAAGCTGACTGTGTGACAAAGAAACATCCTGATAAAAGATGGGGTGAGTTCCTGCACTGATGGTGAGTGTAAGGGAGATACCTTTGTGCTAAAAGTGAAAGATATGTCTAGAAGAAGTGATGTCAGAGCACAGTGATGCTGGCAGTCACAGAGATCTGAAGGTTTTGAATGCTAAATGCTCGGTCCTGCTCTTTGATCACCACAACTCCATGCAGTGCTCCAGGCTGGGGGCAGAGTGACTGGAAAGCTGGAAAAAGACCTGGGAGTGCTGATTGACAGTGACTGAACATGAGCCCAGGTGGGCAAGAAGGGCAGTGGCATGTGGCTAGTACCAACCATGGTGTGGGCACAGGCTCAGGGCAGGAATTGTTCCCCTGAGCTGGGCACCGCTGAGGCCCCTCAAGAACTGTGTCCAGTTCTGGAACCTCATGGAAGAGAGACATTGAGGAGCTGGAGCGTGTTCAGGGAAGGGAATGGAGCTAGAGTCATAGAATCATAGAATGGTTTGGGATGGAAAAGACCTTAAAGATCATCTAGCTCCAACCATCTGCCATGGGCAGGGACACCTTCCACTATCCCAGGTTGCTCCAAGCCCTGTCCAGTGTGGCCTTGGACACTTCCAGGGATGCAGGGGCAACCACAGCTTCTCTGGACAAGCTGTGCCAGAGTCTCCCCACCCTCACAGGGAAGAATTCCTTCCCAATATCCCTTCTAACCCTGCCCTCTGTCAGTGGGAAGCCATTTCCCCCTGTCCTGTCCCTCCAGGCCCTTGTCCAAAGTCCCTCTCCAACTCTCTTGGAGCCCCTCTGGACACCAGGAGGGGCTCTGAGGTCTCTCTGGAGCCTTCTCTTCTCAAGGCCAAACAGCCCATACTCTCTCAGCCTGACTCCAGAGCAGAGGGGCTCCAGCCCCATAATCAACTCAGTGGCCTCTGGACTTGTTCCAACAGCTCCATGTCTTTATTGTGCTGGGAGCCCCAGAGCTGGACTCCAGGTAGGGTCTCAGAAGAGCAGAATAGAGGGGGAGAATCACCTCCGTCATCCTGCTGCCCACGCTTCTTCTGATGCAGCCTGGGACATGATTGATTTTTCTGGGCTACAAGCACACACTGCTGAGTTATACTGAGCTTTTTGTTCACGGAACACCCCCAAATCCTTCTCCCCAGGGCTGCTCTCAGTATGTTGTCTGCCCAGCCTGTATTTGTGCTGGGATTGCCCTAACTCAAGAGCAGGACCTTGCACTTGGCCTTGTTGAACAACATTAGGTTGGCATAGTCCCACCTCTCCAGCCTGTCCAGGTCCCTCTGGATGCCCCATCCTTTCCCTTCAGCGACTGCACCACACATCTCTGTGTCATCGGCAAGTATGCTGGGAGTGCCGTTGATTTCACTGTCCCTGTCACCGACAAAGATGTCAAACAGTACTGGTGCCAGTACTGACCCCTGAGGGACACCACTTACCACTGGTCTCCACTTGGGCACTGAGATGCTGACTGTGACTTTCTGAGTGAGACCATACAGCCAATTCCAAGACTACCAAGTAGTCCATCTGTCAAATCCATGTCTTTCCAGTTTAGAGACCGGATGTTGTGCACAGGCAGTGTCAAATGCATTGTACAGGTCCAAGTAGATGGTGTCTGTTGCCCTTCCCTCATCCACCACTGCTGTAATCCCACCACAGCAATAGCTGAGGGAACTGGGGGAGCTCAGCCTGGAGAAAAGGAGGCTCAGGGGGACCTTCTCACTCTCTGCAACTCCCTGACAGGAGGAGAGAGGTGGGGGGGGATCGGGCTTTACTCCCAGGGAACAAGGGACAGGACAAGAGAAAACGGCCTCAAGCTGTGCTAGGGTAGGCTCAAGTTGGATATGGAGAAAAATGTCTCCAAGGAAAGGGTTGTCCATGCCTGGCATGGGCTGCCCAGGGCAGTGGTGGAGTCCACATTCCTGGAAGGATTTAAAAGCTGTTTGGATGTGGCACGTAGGGTCATAGTTTAGTTGTGACTTTGACATTGCTGGGGGAATGGTTTGGCTCAATGATCTTTTCCAACCTAAGTGATTCTGTAAACTTCTTGGAAAAAACATCTGTGTGAACTATGGTGTTTCGTGTCTCTGCAGGTGAGCGGTTGTATCACACTGTGTCCTGTGTCTCGGACAGTCTGGCCCTGGTGGTAGGAGGACGAATGTCCCCATCAAGTGCAGGCTTGGGAATGTTGTGGCTAAAGTTCCCTGAAAACTATAATGCTTCAGATTCAGATGACATTGCAGTGGAGCTTGTAAATCTGCAGCCTGCTGCTGAACCAGCAACTTTGCGTTGGAGACACAGCACAACTGAAGTGACATTCAAAGGTAAAAAGCCTGGAAAGAGTGGAAATGGCCATAGATAGGCAGGACCTTGCACTTGGTCTTGTTGAACTTCATATTGACCCACTTCTCAAGCCTGCCAGTAGGAAAGAAATTAAAAGAGGCTTTGAGATCTTGGTGCTTGAAATGCGGTAGTTTTGTATTTCCTATGCTATATAACCCTCAGTGGAAGTGGAATTGAAACCTAGGGATGTAATCTATTCTGGAAGACTGATTCTTTAAGATCATTTGTGGCTGAAGTTATTCTTTCTTGATCACACCAGAAGGAAGTTTTGCTATCTCTAAAGGATATTTTTTTTGGAGCAGAATTCCTAGCTCTTTATCCAGAAGTGCCTCAGAAGTGTTACTTTTCTAGTAGGAATTGACAAATAGTAGTTGTGAAGGGCTCTAGAACCAGATTCTGCAATAGTAAGCTGATGGTTGGCCTAGTAAGAGATCCTGACTCTGAGGGGCAAAAACTTAAGCAGTGGCATTCAGAAGGTGAAAGCTGTCCTTTCCTTTCCTAAGCTGTCCCATTCCTGCCAGTGGACAGGGAGCTCTCCAAGGGGAGCAGAAGGGAATTGGTAGCCTAGTCTGGAGCATAATTTCCATTTGTGGAGCAGTGTTAAGTTAAAAGTGGAATGTAGTTTAGAGTTCAGCCTTCCAGTCAGAATTTTATATCAAAGAAGCAAATGTGAAATGGTTAAGTAAAATTTGATAAATATTGCATTATTCTTTGTCAGACTGTATTGTTTCATCTTATTTTTGCCTTGATGTTGCTTTGTAGCTGAAGGAAATGACCAACACAGATATTATCAACACAGTCCATTATGAAGCAGTAAAAGGACAGGGCATAGTGCAGTGAATGCATGTCCTTGACATCTATCCAAAGTACTTTTGCACCCTTTTTAACCTCCTTTTTGAAGCTTCTCCATATTAACAAATACACATTCATGTTCTGAGGATTTATCAGTTTTCCTGAGATGAATAGATGTCATTGAGCTGCTGTGATTTAGATACTGAGTGTTTTCTAGTTTTATTAGTTCTACAGGAGTCATTTTTCCATTGCCTAGAATTCCATTCCCTAAGTCCATTAGGTATGTTGGAAAACATGGTTTCTTCTCTTCATTTTGAGACTAGAGTGTGTGACTTCCATTCCTTAAACATTCCAGACTGTAACCATTCAGCAGCTACATAAAGTAAGTGGATGATGTGTTCTTCTGAATGACCACAAACATGAAGAGTGCAGGTTCTTAGTAAAAGTGTTTAAGATGCTCTTGTGCAGGGCTAAGGGTGGGACTTGATGATCCTTATGGGTTCCTTCCAACTCAGCATATTCTGTGATTCTGCGATTCCATGTGTCTTATAAAAGGTCTAGGTACAAGAGTAGTTCCAGTATCTACGAAACAATTTCTTGTCTTTATTGCTGAAGTCTGGAGTTGTTTATCAAGTTGCAGGATGTTTTAAAGAAATAGTACTTAGAGCTTCTGTCCAACTGCAGTAATTTCTGTCTTCAGTCAGCTTCCCTTCTATGCAGACAGAAAGTTTTGCTTTGGTGACATACCAAATTCTTTCTCTTTTCACCTGGTTGTCTGTTTCTGTAGGTGAGCAGTACCTGTTTGTGTATGGGGGCCGCTCTGCTCTGGAGCCTGTGCTTGGGGATTGGTATTTTCTGCACACTCGAGAACTCTCCAGCACTCTGGTAAGAATGTATTCCATGGTGATTCAAGTTAGAGCTGACTTCTAAACATCCTGCTCTTTAGTGGAATACAGTCTTCACTGACAGTCCTTGACCACCCTGATAGTACAGTGTGAGGGGTTTTATATAATAGTTTCTGAAAGTCTTGTCACTGCAGACTTTCAGAAACTATTATATAAAAATCTATGCAGATGATAATAGAAATAGTTTCATTTAGTTTAGGGGAAAGAGATGGACAAGGTGGCCTCCAAATTTTTCTCCACCTCATGCTTGCTATGATATTTCTTTAAACACCTGATTTTACATTTTTTCCTTTAGTGCTTGCACTGAAGTTTTTTTTTTCTGCATTTTAGTCCTGCAGTTCAGCCTGTTATTGTGCTCTATGGTTTGAGCTACTGATCACCTGCTCTTCTGGTCACTGCCTTAGTCCATGTGTTTGTAAACAAGCTCAGGGTTCTCAGGTGTGTCTCTTGAGCAGAAAGCAGCATGCAAGAATGCAAATCAAGTTACCTGTAATAAATGTGCAGAAATAAACCCTCTAAAGACTGATCATATTAAATATACTGAGGGCCAGAGAAATACTTGAGGTAGTGTAATTGGAAGCACTTGTATTTAGCAGTCTCTAGAGGAATGTGTGGATAAGGTTGGGTGTCAAAAAACTCAACCACACAGGAAAAAGTCATTTAAAATCCTGGACATTAAGAAGACACTTAGCTTGGCAAACTGCAGCCTTGGACCTGTGTTTTTCTAGATTGCTGTTGAGGGTCCAGTCCCAGAAAGCCGCCACTCTCACAGTGCCTGCAGCTGGGAAGGAGGAGTGCTCATCGCAGGAGGTCTGGGAGCAGCTGAGCAGCCCTTGGGTTCAGTTTTCCTTCTGAGGGAGCTTGAACATGGCTTTCGGTGGCAGGCAGTAGAGACATACCCTCCTCTCATCCCAAGGTGAGCAGAAGGTGCTCATAGCATCATAGAATAGTTTGATTTGGAAGGCACCTTTTAAAGGCCATCCAGTTCAACCTCCCTGCAATGAGCAGGGGCATCTTCAAGTAGACCAGGGTGCTCAGAGCATTCATCAGTGAATCTTCAGCCTGTCTCTACCAACCTCCCTTACTAATGGGGTTCAGTCTCATTTTGAACTCACAGGTATTCACATACTGCACATGTGCATGAAGGAAAGCTTCTGCTCGTTGGTGGAGTGTGGTTTCATGCATCCTCCGTGCCAGGCATCACTGTCATTGACCTAATGACTGGCCTCTGCTTGGACTATGTGATTAATGTGGTAAGTACTAAAATTTTTCTTTCAGGGTAAGCAGTAAGATGGTAACTTTAGGGCTGTTCCTTGAAACTGAGTAGAGAAAGCAAAGTTGGCAAAGCTGGGAGTGGAATAAACATTCCCTGTTTGAGATAGAATCTGATTCTGAAGCGCTTTTACCAGTACAGAGAACATAATAGTATTAAGAGAAAGAGAGAGACTGCATGGCAGAAGACTGGAGGACATGAAGCTGTTCTGTTCCAGACAGAGGCAGTAGAACTGAAATGGGCACAAACATAGTCCCTTCAGGATATCTGTGGAGGAGGGGAACAGGCCAAATGAGAGAGCCTCAGTAAGTCTTTATGGAGGTCTGTGGTATAATTTCATTGAGAACTTCTTAGTGGAAAGTGCAGTGTGTTATAGCTGCTGCTTGGAATGCAAGAAAAAACAACATGGAAATACCGGAAGCTCCACTGAAACATAAGAAAAGTTTACTGTAAGGGTCACTGAACACTGAACAGAGAGGCTGCGGTGTCTCCATTAACAAGGAGATATCTCCATTAACATGGAACTATTCAAAACCTGACTGGGTAGGGTACTGAGCAACCTACTGTAGTGAAGCCAGCTTTGAAAAGGAGTGGTTGGACTGGATGACACCGTCAGGTCCCTTCCAACTTTAACTATTCTTTGACTTTCTTCTACGAATCACTGAAGAGCAGTCATACAGGTGGTGTCACATAGCAGGATTTTGGCACACTCTGGGCAAAACTTGGTCTGTACGTGTGAGTAGCCCTCACCTCAGATAATACTGTCTGGAGTAAAAGAAAGACATAGATCTGTTGGAGTGAGTCCAGAGCAGGGCCACAAAGATGATCAGAGAGCTGGAGCACCTTTCCTGTGAGGATATTCTGAGAGTTGCGGTGGTTCAGCCTGGAGAGAGAGGGTTCTGGGGAGACCTTAGAGGCCCTTCCAGTGCCTAAAGGGGGCTTATGAGAAAGATGGGGACAGACTTTTTGGATGGGCCTGTAGTGATAGGACAAGAGGTGATAGTTTTCATCTAAAGGACAGTAGCTTTAAACTAGGTATAAGGAAGAATTTTTTTATGAAGAGTGTGGTGAAGCCGTGGCACAGGTTGTCCAGAGAAACTGTGGCTGCCCTGTCCCTGGAGGTGTCCAAGGCCACATTGGACAGGGCTTGGAGCAACCTGGACTAGTGGAAGGTGTCCCTGTCCATGGCAGGGAGGTGGAAAGAGATGGTCTTTAAAGGTCCCTTCCATCCCAAACCATTCTATGATTTTGTAAGAAAACTTCTGTTGCTTGACAAGTTATTTCTTTTAAATAATAATAATAATAATAATAATAATATTTTTTGGAGCCCCTGGTGGTCTAGTGGTAAGGGCGCGGCGCTGTCACCGCGGAGACCCGGGTTTGATTCCCGGTCAGGGCCACTCCCGGGCAGATGGAGCTCGTTAGCCCTTAAAAAAAAAAAAAGGCAACCCATCTACATCCTAAGGACCTCGCTGCCACCGTCCAAGCTCGCTTGGCCCCGGCAGATGAACCTTAGGATTAAAGGGTGGGCTCAGTTCCGCGCACACTGTGTCTCACCTAAAAAATCCAATGCGCAGGCTGGAAGGCGTAAAGACCTTCCCCGGATCTTCGCTCGCGAAGACTGGCCATATATATATATATTTCTTTTAAGTAAAGAAACAACTTTCTTTAGATAGCTGTACGTGTGGAACTTGTCCTTGGTGAAACTGGAATTTGTGACAGGTCAGTTTTTTATGGTGGATTGTATTATGTGCATCTGACTGACCTTGCAGCATTTTCTTGGAGGCATAAAGCATGAAGCATCCTTAAATGTTGCTTAGTTTTTAGTTACTGTCTGTAGCAGAAGTTGTAAGGGGCCTCATATCATTAGGCTACCCTTGTTGGACAGCAGTGAGGGTGGGTAGGGTGATAATAAAGTTGTATCTAAAAGAATATAACTTTTTTGTTTACATTGAGTAAGTGGATGCAGGTGGATTGGTAGCTGCCTTTGCTTATGAGCTGTTTGCTTTGGCTTTGGTGAAACTCTCTAGGCTTTTGAACCTACCAGTTACATAGTAAGCTTTGGAACTCCTTGCCACAGCCCAGGAACGCCACAGGTTTCCATTGAATCAAAAAGTGACTGGTGTTGCCCTCTTGGGAAAGCATTAGGGTTCAAGGGTTACCAAGACATTCTCTCCCATTAAAAGCACTGAATTGCAAGCTGGTGGGTGGGTTGGTGTACTGGAGGATTATACCTCATTGGTTCTTTGTTCTGTATTCTCTTACTATCTCTTTTTGCCCACATTCATGGGTGATACGGTGAACCATGTGAAGTCTTGTATGTTGAAAATCTTTCTTTTTTCAGGAGCATCTGGAGTGGCCATTAATGCTACATAATCATAGCAGTGTCTTTCTGCCAGATGAGAAGGAGTTGTTGGTCATTGGTGGTGGTGGGAACTGCTTCTCCTTTGGGACACACCTGAACCCAGAGCCTGTCTCACTGAGCCTCAGCAGCATCGTGACAAGTCACTGATTGGGACCAAGCAAGGCTGAACTGTGCTGTGGGAAGACATCTGTTCACTCGGAGGTCCAAGGTTTCCACAAGGGCTTTGTATCCAGAATGCATTTGTGAAGGTGGGATCAGGAGGGCCAGTTTACAGCAAGGGGCTCACCATCCTTTGCTTTGGTGCAGCTCTTCCTATTGCTGTAAATAAAGGGCCTCAGAAACGGCTGTAGCAGAGGGTCTTAGAGGTGAAGTGAGGGTCAGACTTTGTTGAAAGTCTGACCTGAATTCATAGAACCATGGAATGGTTTGGTTTGCGAGGCAGATCATCCAGTTCCACACCCCTTCCATGGGCATGGACACCTTCCACTATCCCAGATTGCTCCAAGCCCTGTCCAACCTGGCCTTGGAGAGTTCCAGGGATGGGGCAGTGACAGCTTCTCTGGGCAACCTCTGGCAGGGCCTCCCCACCCTCACAGGGAACAATTCCTTCCCAATAGCCCATCTATCCTATCCCTCTGTCAGTGGGAAGCCATTCCCCCTTGTCCTGTCACTCCAGGCCCTTGTAAATAGTCTCTCTTCATCTTTCTTGTGAGTACTGGAAGGCTGCAGTTAGGTCACCCCAAACCCTTCTCCAGGCTGAACAATCCCAATTCTCTTGGCCTTTCCTCCTAGCTGAGGTGCTTCAGCCACCTCTGGACTTGGTCCAACAGGGTGATGTCCTTCCTGTGCTGTTTCCCAGGGCTGAAGGCAGCTCTACCCGGGGCGGGGGGTCACCTGAGAGCGCAGAGGGCCAGAATTTCCCCCTGCCCTGCTGCCCACACTGTGGGATCAGCCAAGCATACAAGAGTTTCTGGGCTGGGCCACGTCCAGCCTCTCACCCACCAGCATCCCCAGGTCCTTCTCCCAGGGCTCCTTTTGATGTGTTTATCTCCCAATCTGGATTAATATTCGGGGTTACCCTGACCCAGGTGCAGCACCAGCACATCTGGATGGCATCCGGTCCTTCAGGATGTGGAGCTGCTGGAGCGAGTCCAGAGGAGGCCATGGAGATTCTTCACATGCTGGAGCCCCTCTGCTCTGGAGTCAGGCTGGGAGAGCTGGGAGGGTTCTCCTGGAGAAGAGAAGGCTCTGGGGAGACCTGAGAGCCCCTTCCAGGGCCTAAAGGGGCTCCAGGAGAGCTGGAGAGGGACTGGGGACTAGGGATGGAGGGACAGGATAAGGGGGGAATGGCTTCCCCCTGCTAGAGGGCAGGGTTAGATGGGAGATTGGGAAGGAATTCCTGGCTGTGAGGGTGGGGAGGCCCTTGCCCAGGTTGTCCAGAGAAGCTGTGGCTGCCCCTGGATCCCTGGAAGTGTCCAAGATGAGGTTGGACAGGTCTTGGAGCATCCTGGTCCAGTGGGAGGTTCCCTGCCCACAGCAGTGAGGTGGTATTTGATGATCTTTAAGGTACCTTGCAACCTAATCCTGTGATTCCATGATGATTCTCTGACTGCATCTTGGTTGTTGGGTTCAGAGAAATTGTTCAAATTCGCTTTGGTTTTCTTCTTTCCTTGTTTGTTTTCTTCCAATATTTTCAGAATTTTTTTCTAGTTATTAAATTATCTCACAAGTTTCTTTCTCCCTTTTTTTTTTCCTTACTGAATTGGCAGGTTGGGTTAAAGCACAAAACCCTTCCCCAGCTCCATTGCCCTTCTCCAGACACACTCCAGCACCTCAATGTCTTTATTGTTATGTGGGGCCCCCAAACTGACCCCAGGATTCAAGGTCTGACCTCACCAGTGCCCAGCCCAGGGGGATGATCACTGCCCTCATGTCATGGAGGCTCCTGAAATTGAGACAAACCACCTATTCAAAAGAGATTTATTTGATGAACCAGTTAAACCCCTGGAAATTACAGATCCAACAACAGCTGAAAACTTTCATGATGTCAAATGGAATTGTTACAACCTGACTGATCTTAGGAATCCCAATGGTTTGAGCAGGACAACCTGGAATGCATGGTCATGTGCCTGAGGCAGTGAGGGCTCTCCTCGGGGCCCTGCCTGCCCCGTAAGGGTGCCTTGCCTGACCTGTGATGTCACAAAAGGGGCCGTGCCTGACTTGTGATGTCACAAAGGGGACCCTGCCTGCCCCATGATACCACAAAGGGTGCCTTGCCTGCCCCGTGATGTCACAAAGGGGGCTCTGCTTGCCCCACAGGGTTGGGATCCTATCACTGGGATCCCACAGGTCACTGGGGAGCCTTTTCCCCAGCCTGTGCTGGTGACCTGGAGCGCCAGGGATGGTGCCATGAGGTACCTCAACATCTTCACCGCAGGGGAGCTGGTTGCAGTCACGATCCTGGTGCTGCAGCTCATCCTGGTCACTGCTGTGCTGCGGGACAAGCGTCTATGGGTAGGTGCCTCTGCACCGCTCTGTAGGCTGGGGTGGGGTGGGATGGTGTGTGGAGCGTTGTGGAGGGTGTGCGGTGGGCCCAGGAGATGCTGCTGTCTCACCCATCTGTGGTTCCTGCAGAGGATCTGGCAGAACTGGAAGCAGCCAAGGGCAGCAATAACCCAGTCAGAGGAGCAGAGCAGCTTGGACGGGGTGCAGAAGTCAGCAGACATGTCCACTGGCAGCTCCCACCGAAATTCCATGAACTACAGGAAGCAAAGGTTCATCCAAAGCTCCCAGGACACCCGGGCACTCTTTGAGGAGCAGCATAGGGAGCTGGAGGCACAGCTGGCCCAGCAGCAATACAGGGGAGGGGACTGCAGGGTGCTCCAGACCGAGATGCTGGTGGAGCTGCCGGGACTGCTGGGGGGCAGAGAGTCTCCCCAGTGCCTTGCAGTGGAGCTGCCGAGGCCGGACATGAACAAGGGGACAGAAGAGGCCAAACATAAGAACACAGGACAGTGCAGCAGGGACTACACGACACTGCAACGCAGAAGATCCGTGGTGATGGCCAGGCTTCTACCTAGACTAGTGGTGATTGTAAATCCCGCACTGTTGGAAAGCTGCAGCAGCAGCAGTAGCAGCTCCACGGAGGTGGAATACAGCAGCACCACTACTGGATGGTTCCTGGGGAAGCTCCGTGCCCGGCTCCAGAGATACCTGGAAGCCTTGCAGACACACTTTGTTCAGCGCCGCCGGGGCTTCTGCATCCACCTGAGGTCCCAGTGGTGGTGGCAGCGCTGGACACAGAGGAGAAAAAGGCGTAGTAATCATGAGTAGGGAGGGGTGGAGGAATGGGGTGCTTCAGGAACCATCTGGACAGCCCAATACCCGCCCCTCTCCAGATCCCTCTGTAGAGCCCTCCTGTCCTCTAGCAGACACACACCCTCACCCAACCTGTCCTCTGCAAACTGACTGAGGGTCCCCTCCTCTTGCCCATCCACCAGTGCTGTAGCACCATTGCAGAAGGTCACCAATTTTGTCAAACATGATTTTGCCTTTATAAAGCCACATTGGCTGTTACAAATCATCTCTGTTTTCCATTAGCCTTATCATAGTTTTCAAGAGAATCTGCTCAGTGATCTTGCTTGGCACAGAGGTAACACTGACTGGTCTGTAGTTCCCTGGGTCTTCTGCTTTCCCCTTTTTAAAAATGGGGGGTTACATTTCCCTTTTTCTAGTCATCAGGAACTTCATGTAACTGCCACAATTTTTCAAAAATGATGAACAGTGTCTTACCAACTTTGTCTGCCAATTCCCTCAGGACCCATGGACGGATTTCATTTGGTCCCATGGACTTGTTTATATTCAGGTTCCTTAGATGGTCTCAAATCTGATCTTCTCCTACAGGGGGCTCTTCCTTCTCCCAGTCCCTGCATTTGCCTTTCCCAACTTGGGTGGCATGGCCAGACTCAATTCTAATGGGCCTTGGCTTCCCTAACCTTGTCCCCTAGCTTCTCTTACAATTTCCCTGTGTTCCTCCCAGGCTACCCCTCATTTCCACTTCCTGAGAGCTGCTTATTTTGCTCTGCTCACCAGCTCCTTACCCATCCATGGAAGCCTCGTGGCATTTCTGCCCCATTTCCTCCCTGCTGGGGTGCGTTGCTCCCAAGCTTGGAGGAGGTGATCCCTGAAATTCAGCCAGCTTCATGGCTGAGAAGAGATGGGCCCTGCTGGGCAGCTCCTGGGGATCACCTGGGCCCACGTTCTGCAGGGAGCTGCTTGGGGGGGAGCAGTGCAGCATTTGGGTCTCTCAAGGAGAGTTGGTGAGAGCGCCTCTCAGCCCTGGGGAAGCACCTGGATTCTCCTGGACATGGAGCATTGCCCAGGGAAGGGGCCGGGGGTTGAACCCTGTGCCGAGGGGCAGTGCAGGAGGGGGAGCAGCACCCAAGAGGGTGGGGCAGAGTGGGGGCACAGGGAAGATCATTCTCACTCTGCCTTTCGATTTCATCTTCCCAGTCCCTGCCCAATGCATTCCAGTGACCTCAGAAAATGAGGGGTTCGAGGGGAAAATGGGTTTAAATTGAGGCCTCCAGTTGTGATTTCAAGTGTTTCAACTGAAGAAAACCCTGCCTTTTCCATGTTGTTAGAGGTTTTAATTGACACGGAATCCCTTATTTTTTGCTTGAAATGGAAGGGGACAACCTTTATGAGGCCATTTTCATCATCTGAAGGTTTAAATTGAGGGGGAATCCCTGTAGTGCCTCATTTTTGAGAGTTTGAAAGGAACTTCTTTATGTGCCATTTTAAGAGTTCCATCGAGGGGAACCTTCCGTTATAAGGGACCCTCAGGGGGAAAAAAAGATATAAAAAAGCCACAAAAATAGTGCTTCTTGAGAGGAAAAAGAGTGGTGGGAAGGGGAAGCATTTTAAAAAAAAATTATTAACAAAAAAGTAAAAAGAAAACTAAACTGAAAATAACATAAAAAGAATAAAAAGAGAAAAGAAAATTGAAAATAAACACAACAAAAATAAAATTAAAAAAGAAAGAGCAAATAGGCATTGTGTTTAAGGGAATAGCAGGGGAGCCTTTCCTTTGCCCAGAGGAGCTGCAGTGTTTCCCTCTATGGAAAAATAAGAAATAAAAAATAAAAATAACATAAAAAATTAAATTAAAAAAAAAGAAAAATTAAAAAGGGAAAATAAATGAAATAAAAAGAAAGTAAAAACAAAGAATATAATATAAAATAAAATAAATGTAAAAAAGAAAATTAAATCCAAGAAAACTAAAAGGGAAATAAGATTGAAATAAAAGAGAAAAAACCCTTTTTGGGGACCCCATTTATTCTCTCCCTAAACCCCCAAACCCCAAATTGGATGCCACCCTTAAGATGGGAGGGGGAACCCCAAAAAGTGGATAGGAGACCCCAAAAATTGGAGGGTGGATACCAGAAATAGGGGAAGATCCCCAAGGACCTTACAAATTGGAGGGGGAGCCCAAAATGGCACGGAAGGGCTCCAAAAATGGGTGTGGGGACCCCTAAAAGTAGGGAACCCCCCTCAAAAAGGGGGTGGAGACCTACCCAAAATGTCAGAAAGGAGCCCCAAAAATAGGTGGGGACTCACAAAAGTGAATGAGGACCCCTGGAAGTGGGAGAGGAGACCCGAAAATATGGCTGGTGAACCCCAAAAAAGTCAGGGAAGGGCCCTAAAACATCCCCAAAATGTGGGTAGGGACGCCCAAAAGGGGCAGAGGAATGCCAGTGATGCCCCCCGGCACCATTTTGGGTGTCAAGGGGGTGTCACCCCTCCCTTTCTTCCCGCTTGCCCCCTCCCATCCCACCTCACAAAGCCTTTAAGGAAAATAACAATAAAGTAAAATAAAAAAACCTTAAAAAATAAAACAAAATAAATAAAAACAAACCCAGTAAAAATAAATAAAAAGAAAATAAATTTAAAAGAAAAACAAAATCAAAGAAAAATAGGATATAAAATTAAAAAAAAAAAGAAAATAAACCATAAATATAAAAAATATATTTTAAAAAAACAAACAAAAAAACCAGGACGGGCGGGAATCGCTGCTTCCAACTCAGCATATTCTGTGATTCTGTGATTCCATGTGTCTTATAAAAGATCTAGATACAAGAGTAGTTCCAGTATCTATGAAACAATTTCTTGTCTTTATTGCTGAAGTCTCGAGTTGTTTGTCAGGGTGCAGGATGTCTTAAAGAAATAGTACTCCAGGCCACTGGGAGGGAGTCAAAACCCAAAGAAAACCCAAATCCTACTGAGGGACTCATCCAAAGGAAGAAAGCCATTATTGCCATCAACAGCTTCAAAACCTGTTCAAAATTCTAGGACAGCAATACTGGGATTCACAGGAATCTTCTTAGTGCTCTTAGTTCCATTTTAATGTATCTTTAGTCCTCAAGGAGCAGTTTGGAGAACTTACCCTGGGATTTAAAGGCCAAGCAGGGCTTGCTTTGGATTGCCTTGCACCTCTGGCCCCAGCTGGTGCAAACACAACTTGGGCCAATGGGGTTAAACACACTTTCCTACCAAAACAGTTGCTGTATCCCCTAGAAATTACCCCAAGTTTCCAGATAAAAATGACACCTCTGTCCCCAGTGAGTCACCCCAGGTTTTGCCAGTTGGGAGCTGTAAGGAGGCTGTAAATTCAAAGGCAGAAGGAGAAGATCTATCAGCAAAAGGCAGAAAGAAGGGGACAGGTTTCAGAAGACATTTCTGCAATATCATTAATAACTATTTCCAGTTTCCCAGTGAGAAGAACATGAATGCACCACCACCAAGGCCTGACAGTCCTCTGCAGCCAGAGCTCAGCACACATCCAGAGAGGTAAGTCCAGCACCTGAAAGGAAAAAAGAAGAGATAATTTTTTTTTTTTTTTAAAGTCATTTAAAGTTCTTCCAAGCAAAGCAAGACTTGCTCTGGTTTCAGGTGGGTGCACAGTGAACGGTGGGCACAGGGCAGGTCATTAATGCCTACGGGGATGGTGCTTTCTGAGGGAAGAGCAGCTGACTGATGGCCTGAGTCCACTTGCTGCTCCCGGGATTGATTTGCACAGGACAAACTCTCTGGCAGGAAGGGGTTTTGTTCCCTGTCAGGGGTGGACCAGAAGAGGCCTACTGAGAGTGGAGAGAGATGCAAAAGAACTACAAAGAAGGCTCAGAAGAAGAGATCTCTATTGAAGCCTCCTAGCAACTGTAGCTGCGTTTGAGACCCAGCTACAAGGCCATAGCCTTGCAGGCTCTGCAGATTCCCATGTCTCTGCCCCCAGGACAATCCTTCCATTCTTCCCTAAGCTCTCCCTACCCCCTGCGTGACCAGACATATCCCATGCAGCCTATCCCTCCAAGTTCACTTATCACTAAACTTTAGGATTCGAGGTTCCCTAGCAAGAAACCCTCCTCTGTTCCTGAACCTTCTGTATCCCCCTGTATATAAACTGTCTTCTTGTTTTAATAAATGCCATTTTGTGAGTCACAACTCGTCTGTGTCCCGTCTCCCACTCAAGATGTGCCACTGGGTCTGTCGCGGGACCAAACCCCACCCGCGATAGTTCCCTGTAATGGTCTTTGCCCCGTGTGTCCCTGTGGACAGGGCCAGGCTGGGGACAGGCACAGAGAGCTCTCAGCACTCTCTGCTCCAAACAGCCTTTGCTGGCACTGCAGCCCCGGGGATCGAGGGGGGCCGGAGGCGGCGGCCCAGGAAAGGCCCCCCTGCTCCCCCCGGGGCAGCTCCACAGCCCCGCTGCCCTCTCTGCCTCAGGGGCCCCACTGCTCCCCTGGCTGGCACAGAGACCCCTGCCCATGGCCTGGGCAATCAGGGTCAGGGCTCAGCCTTGCTGCAGCCGCGCCACAAAGGAGCCCCTCCAGCCTCACCCCAACATTTGCCTACTTGTCCCCTGCAGAGAACCTCAGTTTACCTCAACATTCTCTGCCTTGCAGGTTTCCTCGTGTGACTCCCAACATCTTCCCTCCCTCTCCACATCTCATCATCTCATGTACATCTAAATATGTTCATGCTCTACCCTACAGACCACCTCGAATATACTCTAAACTTTCCCCACCTGCTCACCGCTGACCACCTCCTTTTGACCTCCAAATATTATCACTGGCAGAACCCTTTAGTTACCCCTCTCTGGGTCGTGTTGGTCACAGGTCTGGAGCCTGCTGAATTGCTCCCTGAGCTGTTTCAAACCCTTGCTGCTGCTCATTTCCCCCTCAGAGTCACAGTCCTGTCCTGCTTCTTTATGTTACGGGGCAGGGATTTGTCCCAAAGGAGGACCTTGTCACCAAAAGCCAAACAAACCAATAAACTGCTGGGCTTCTGCCTTGCTCTGGGGGGTGACCAAGTCTAAAGTCTCTTGCCTAGTCCTGGGCAATACTTCCTGATGACACAACGCCACTGAGGGAACTGAGCCCAGTGTTCCTCAGCACAAGGCAGCCCTTGGAAATATCCACTGCCATTCCACAGTCAGGCACAGCAATAAGCACTCCACAAAGCTGCTGTGGCAGAGAACAATTTGAAGCTCAGCTTTTCTTTGTACCACCTCACTTTGTTTGCCACCTCATCCTGTAGTCAAAACCTGCTGTCCTTGCACCTTTTTAGGCTGACCATCAGTTGAAGAGGCCTCTGCTCCAGCACCCACAAGGGCCTGAGCCCTTTGACAAGATCCATTTTTCCAAGGAATTCAAAGCTCCACCTGAGGGCCATGGGCTTTTCTCACCCACCCTTGTGCTGGAGCTCGGCCTTCATCTCACTCTGCCTTCACTTCTTTCAGTGGCTGCACCATTTCCTGCCCTGCCTGGACTGGAGCTCGGCCTCCTGATCCCATCCCTGCCAGCCCCCGGAACCGCTGACTCAGCAATGGGGGGCCCTCCATTGCCAAGTGCACGGTCCCGTCGGGGCTCACGGGGGGAGCAGGAGGTTGAAGGGCTCCAGTCCTCCTGGGACAACCTTCCACCACTACAGCCAACAAAGGAGCCTCTCCAGCCCTGCCTCCGAAGGCATCCTGAACAAACCCAGCCCAGCTCCACGGGACAAACTGCTCCCTGTCTGCCCAGTCCAATCTGATCCCAGAGGCTCCCAGGTCATGCAGCCCAACTGCCCAGGAGATCACAGACTGTCTGGCCTTTGCTTTTAAACCTGTCCATAACACCAGCAAGTTCAGGCTGAGTAAAATCCTCCACCACACCAGGCCTGACGGGATAACCATCGGGGTCACCTTCCACTTTCCCTCCTGTTATTGGCTGTGCTTCAGCAAACACTTCACCCTCTGAACCACGCTCTAAAGCAGCTCAGTCCCAAGCATCTCCACGTCAGTTTTTGGGATCCCAACCTATCCCTGCCTCTGCAGTCACAGCATGCACTGGTTTACTTGAACACTTTGCTTCTCATATTTATATTGGGCTTCCTGGAGAGTCACGTCTGCTACTGTTTGACAAGTGTCCAACCTGGCCCTTCATAGGCCACAACTGTTTTCCACTGTCCCACACCACAGGAACAATTCCATCTGCCGCTTCAGTCGGGACGGTGCTGCTGACAGGAGTGGTTTCCTGCACAAAAAGAGCTGCTGCTCTCACACAGTTAATTTCAGAAACTACAATTTCAACCGCCCCATTTTCCAATTTCATTTCTGCCTCAACTTGTCCAACCAATCCCTTCCTAGCAAAGGTTTAGGGGAGCTTGCAAACAGACATTGTGAGGAATTACTCACTGTTCATCCAGTTTAACCCCTGTCACGCCACAAACCTTCCCAGTGCCATCCCTTTATTCTCCCTCTGTTGTGATAAGGACTCAGGAAGTTGGACCTGTGTCTGACTTACACATGTGCAAACCAAATGGTTGGGGACTGGAACCCACACCTTGCACTCCTGCAGCTCTCACAACTGCATTCAAGAGAAAACAGCCAACGGTACCATCACCACTCATTCCTTAATTCCAATCCCACACTCCTTTTGCTGTTGGAGCACCAGTTTTATAACCCAGTTACAGTCCATTCCAGAGCTGCATGGCCAGGATGGACAGCTACACCTCTGATACTCTCAGGAATGCCTGAATCCATTCCAAAGACCTTGCTTTGAGCTCCCCAGCTTGGGGCACTCGGAGGAGCTCCCCGAAGAACAATTTCGGTGCGCGCTCGAGTCCTCTGAGTCCCCAAGCCCGGGGGGCAGCAACAGCACTGTCCCTCCAGGGGGGCCCAATCTTCCCCTGAAATGCAGGGGGATCTTGCCCGTGTCCCAGACTGCTCCGGGGATCTGAGGGCCTTCCCGAGAACATCTCGGTGCCGGCGTGAAGGCCCAGAGATCCCTGGGCACACCAGGAGAGCAGGCTCAGAGTCCCTGCTGGGGGCTAATTTGGCTGCCTGAAAACAGCTTGGCAAAGAAGCCTCTGTGACTCAGTTGGTGAGTTTTAGAAGCCAGGCATTCCTACACACTGCAAGACATTCGAAGACCTTACTAACTGAGAAAGTAGAAAGCTTTTGTCATGGACAGTTGAACTCTCACAGACAGCTCCCTTCCCCTTCCAGTACAAAATTATTGTCATGGTACCATTTCACAGGGAGTGCCCGGGAACCCCAGACTGGCAGGACCAGGAGACCCCAGCATGGCCAGCAGGGCTGGAGCCTCTTACCTTTGGCTGCTCACACCCCAAGGCATTGGCAGAGCTGGACCCAAGTCAGTGATTTGCCCTGTGCTGAAAGAGAGGAGAACAAGACAATTAAGTGCACTGGGGAAGCCAAAGGCTCTTGGCTTTCACCCTTCTCTTCCCGGTACTTGCTACAGGCCTTTCTTCCCTAAAGCCTGCTCTTACCTAGGACAAGCTGAGCAAGTCACAGAGTTGCTGTTTGTATCCCAGCTTCCCAAAGGATTTCTCTCTCCTGGCAGCAGCAGCAGCAGCAGCAGCCTTCCATGGGAAGCCCTGACTGAGGCTGGGAATGGACACAGAACAAGCCAAAAGCGTTCACTCAGCACCAAAACACTTAACAAGAAACCAATTTAGAGTCACCTTTGTCTCCCTCCATGCAGGCAGAGGCTTTGGGATTCCAAGGCAAACCCAGAGACCCCCAGAGAGCAGCAGCCCCTCAGCCCCACCACGGCCTCCCCCAGGCTCACCCAGCAGGCAAGCCCAGCCCCTGTTGTGCAGCACAGCACGCAGGGGGGTGACCTCTGGGATCCCATACAGGCAGCAGGGCCAAGTCCTGCCCAGCCCCCAGGTACCGCAGACACTGCAGCCCCAGCAGCAGGGGCATTTTCTGCCTCTGGCTCCCCTCTCATTTGCAGCTGAATGGTGAGGAACAAGCCCTGAGTAGACAGTTCGGGACTGGCACCGGGCATAAGCAACATCAAGCAGCAAGCCCTGGCCTTGCCAGAGGCCTGGGCCTGCCTAGGCCAGTCTCTGGGCTGCCCTGGCTTTCTTCTGCTGCAATTATCCTGCCCTGGGAAGTGTTAAAACACAGACTGCCCAGTGAGGAGTGCTCTGAAACAGCAATCAATTCCAGCTCCAGAAAAATCTCAGAGCCACACTTAGAAACCCTTCAGCAAGGGCCCTGGAAAAGCCAAGGTGAGCTGTGATTACCTGGAGTCCCAGGGAACTGAGGAGAAGGCGGGGACCGAGCAGAGAGCAAACACCTCCAGCTGCTTCTCACTCCAGCCCCCACAGCAACTGCAGCGAAGCACACTGGTGGAGAGTTTGTAGGAGAGCTTTAAAAGAAATTAAGAAACAATTAGTTGACAGGAAAATCCCTGTATAACAACTCCAATTGCTCACTGAGAGAATTACGTAATTTAGAACAACTGAATCACAGAACCCCACAGCTTATCAAATGTATTCACTGCCACAAAGAAAAAAATAACACTAAATTTCCTCCAAATCTGTTCCCCAAAACCATCCACTCACCACACTGTGCCAAACAACATGTGGTAATAAAACTCTGATGTGTTCAAAACAGTCAAGTTCTTGGACACTTGCTATTTGCTTCCTCTTACTGTTGTTCTTCCTTCAGGAATTCTGCTCATAGCCAAGTTATCCCTACTGCTTCAAGCATTTCCCTCCCTGGTATTACCAGCACATTTACACAGGTAAAGAACTTAACAGCTCTTCTAAAATTATCCAGGTGCCAATTACAGCCACAAAAGAAAAGCAAAAGGAAAAGAGGGCTCAGGCAGCCAGAGAGCTCTGCAGGTGGCACCGGGCAACGTCACACTTGCTAAAACACGTCCTTTTGCACAGAGAAAGAGACAGGTCTGTATTATGGCAAGTTATGCCCTTCCCCCAGTGCTGACAATAATCACACACAGCACCAAGTAAGGCTCAAAGATAAGCTGGGGGGAAAAAATGGCAAAAGCACACACCCCGGGACATTCTCTTGCTTCCAAGGCAAGACCAATCACCCCTCTAGGAAAAGGGAAAGAGGCGAGGGTTTATCAGCAATGCACAACTTAGCAAGTCAGGTTAACGAGTACCAGCAGGGTTTGTGCACAGAGGAAACAAAACTCAGTGGGTTTAGTAGCTAAAAACTCAGTGTAAACCACTGTCTGGTTACAGCAGTAAGCTTCCCACAGCAGTTTCAGGTGCCTTCCTTTGTAGCCCGGCCCCAAAGTAGAAACTCCTCTCGACTGCTCCTGAGAGAGGCAATTAATTGGAACTTTTGGTGCTCGGGAAAGGTAGTCCCTTCCCTAAGTCCTGGCTCACCTGCCCGAGCAGCTATAGTGCTTATAACCTACCTCGCTCCCTGCTTTGCATGTTCATATCAGTAAAAGAAACCTCCAAGCTCTTCCTCCAGTCCAAGCTGCATCTTCTCTGTACTCCCCCACTCCCCCACCTGTTCACGTGCACTGCTCCTCTCTCCTGCGCTGCTTCCTGGCACACGGCTCGTCCCTCGGCCCCTTCCTTGAGCCATGAGCCATCTCCAGATGCACCCAGGGGCTTCCTCCAGCTGCTGCAAGATGCTCTCACCATCACTGCTTCAGAGACTCCCTGGAATCAGCCGCTACCCTGCAGAAGCTCCCTACAAAAAGGGAACTCCCCTCACTCCCCACTCACCTCACCCGTATGTGGATGTTGCCTCGTCTCCCGCTCAGGATCCACTCCACCTGCGATCCAGTCAGTGCCAGATGTCTCAGCCCTACCCTACGACGGTGCTGCAGGGAGATCAGCCCATGAAGCTTTAGGACATGGCTTTACTGGGATCAGAATATGTGCTCACAGACCCACCTCAAACTAACAGCACACACACCCCGGCCTCTGTGCGCCTCTGTCTGTAGGGACAAACTCTGCAAAGGGGCCTTGGGAATGAGCACTGGACACAGGACACAGTTACAGAGTGCTGAGTGCAGGGAAGATGTTCTCTGAAAGATATGAATACCACACAGAAAAAGAAGAATTTTCTTTGAAAAAGCAATTTGATTTTTTATTTTCTACAGAGTTCCCAACAAAAGTTTCCCATTACTGAAGGGAAAAAATACAGGTCAGGCAAGCTTATCCAGAAGTAGTGAAGCACGCCCTTCACAACATGGTTGCACCTGTCCTTGGAACTCCACTATGGTCTGGCTACTTCATCTTTGCACTGACAAAGAAAACTGCACTGTTGAAAGAGTGCTGAGATAAGGAAGGATACATTAGGAGGACATATAAAATAAATAAAAAGCATCCATAAAACTTTCTTTCCACACATGAAATAACTTTTCCTTTGGACAGTGATTTCCTTTTTTTTTAAATTGACAGCCTATATAGAGATAAATCTTTCACCAGAAATCACGTGAAAATGCTGCTTTTACAAGCAATAATAGGGCATTAATCAAACCACCAGTCTTCTGCACACCGCCCAGTCTCTCCTCAGAGTTGAGGGTGCCAAACTTTGGGGCCAGCCCTGCTGCGGAGCACAGCCACTGGTGGCCCCGAGGCTGCTCAGCAGGCAGGACTGACACTGCTCCTGATGAGTTCAGTGTCCCCAAACTAGGGAAAAACCAGTCACCACCTTGTCAACTAGACCAGAGCACTGAGTGCCACATCCAGTCACTTCTTGAACACCTCCAGAGATGGTGACTCCACCACTGCCCGGGCAGCCCCTTCTAATGCCAGACCAGCCTTTCCATGAAGAAATTCTTCATGATGTACAGACTGAACCTGCTCTGGTGCAGCCTGAGGCTATGACTTCTTGTCCTGTTGCTTGTTACCTGGGAGAAGAGGCTGATCCCTACCTGGCAACAACCTCCTTTCAGGTAGAAAATCCAGAGATTATTTGCAACGACATTCTAGAATACTTGTCAGGAACAAGTCACTCAGACACTTCTCTGAGGGTGATACTTTCATACCCCTGGCCTGTTAAGCTGCCACTGTAGGAGAAGTTGTCCAGAACAGAAAAGTCTGTGCTTTTGAGAAATCACAGATATGAACTCAGCAGTCATGGCTTGTGTTCTTACGACGGAGGGCACTGAGCTCCAAAAAGCTGAATTACAAAGAAGAAGTCCATGAAAACGAGTAGAGAGATGAGGTGAGTTGGCATGTCGTACCAAGGGAGATGTATGTCTAAGCTGGATTACCTTTTAGGCTTTTAGGATGCCAGATTTACTGTGCCTCCTTGCTGCACAATAACCTAAGGCAAGAAGCTTAGCTTTAAAATGAAGAACATTACATCTCTAACCCCCCCCTCCATGAGTCACCATAAGGAGAGAGATAAGAATTAACAGTTCATGCCGCTTCCAAAATCTTGTATAGAAACAGTACACTATGTCCTTCTGGCAGTCTTGAAAATCTGCAAATTCCTCCTTCATCTCTCCATTTCAACAGAAACGGTCAGGTCCCATTCCCAAGACTTGCGTGTTGGTCAAATTGACAGACAAATGAAGTTCGTATTCTCTCCCCTTGGAACCCATTCCATTTCCATCCTCACTGTCTGGATTTGTTTACATTGTCTTTTTTGTCCTAAGGAAACGCATTGGCAGTGCAAACAAAATATAGGTATGATGAGAGCCTCACCCACCCCCCTTCCCCAAACAGCAGGTGTTCACCTCAGCATCGTAGAAAGCCTCACAGGGTGTTATCTGCATGCACAGGACTCCACTGTCATGTTGGGGTACACCTTCAGAACCACATTTTTGTTTTCATCAAAGAACAAGATACTAAGAGAAGACATTTTGTCAGGAACACAGCAAGGCTCAGGAATGCCAGGAACAACTCCAACGGCTCTCACTATGCTCTGGATGGTGGCGTGGTTGGATGGCTTCAAGGCCTACAAGAGAGATACGGCAGAACATGTTACTGCACCCACATTCCCATGGACTCAGTTACTCTACAAAATTGCTCTCTCAAAGAAGGGCCCTGTGGAGACCCATCACCTGTAACATGTCTGCTCCTCCACCCTTGCCAGTTGCCACCACAGTTGCCTGGAGCCAGCCGCAAGGAATGTGAAACTGGGCTGGTTTCTTTTGGGCCCCTGTCAGGACTTAAAGGAAGCAATGAATTATCTTAAAACACTGTCAAAAAGGGAAATTCCCATAAAATAAGCCACCACAGGAACTCCTGGTAAGAGCAGATGGCAACAACAGGAGCCTGGCCTGGTAAGGCAGATCTGGGTAATGCACCTGAACAAAGATTCCCACAGTGGAACACTGTGAGAAAGGAAAGCGTTCATTCCAGACCTAAACGAAGCTGAAGTTTGAAATAAGCACACTGGACAAAATTCCACCGTGCAAACTGTGGGAAAGAAAACAATTTGCCATGCCAAGTAGTGGGAACATCTGAGACGCCCCGTAAATAACAGGGACTTGGACTGTAGAAAAGTGGTACCCTAGAACCAGGACTCTGGGACCCTCACCATCGAGAAGACCAGAAGAAGGAGCGGCAGGACGCTGTTAGAATCCATGTGCTGGCGATACCTTTATCTTTTTACTTAATCTGTCTCATTGTCTCTCTCTCTACCTCATGTTTGCTGTTAAATAAAATCCGTACCATTGACCTTGGCATGTGGTCTCGTTTGCATCCTTAATTCGGGCACAGGCATCTTTTAATAATTGGATCCTAACACCCCCGGATGACATTGTCCCTCTGCCACGTTCAGCTCCAGCTGCTGTGACAGGACCTTGTGCTCCCTGTGGGATCTGCCTGCCCAAGGAATACCTATAGGTCAAGGTGGTCTCTCCTGTGCAATTTCAGTTACGCATGGGCTGCAATTCAGTCATACAGCTCATCAGGCCGGGAGGGAGGCTGTCCAGCAGGCTGAGTCGGTGGGGGAGCCAAAGAAATCTAACACATGGGCTGAAAAGTCTGACTGATGGAACATAAGCGCGTCAGGAAAAAACAAAAGTGGACAAAATCCATGGAAAGGAGAGAACGGAAGCGCCTCAGGCCACGATGCCAACTGTTCCAGCTAGCACTTGTGCCAGGCTCGGCTCTTTTGCCTTCCATGCTAATGCCTTCTCATCTGTAGTATCCATTTGTAGTCGTGGCACTGCTGAGGAACCGAGCCCCAAAGTCAGTTGTACCTCATAACTAAGGCGCCATTTTCCTCCAAAGGACAAACTCCAAATGACAAAGTTCACGGAGTTATACTGATGTAAAAAGGAACACACTTGGCTTTGCTTTGAACAAAAAGCAAATCTGACTGGTGAAAACTATTTGATCAAAACACTAGAATACATTAGGATGCTCAAAAACATAAAAACATATAGAAGTGCAAAATACCAAGCTGTACCTCTGAACCAGTAAACCCTTCCAGATCCAGGTACCTGTACAAAAGATAGGGGGGCATGAAAAATGCACAAGATGCAGCTTTCAGCCAAAGACTTTTGGTTTGCTTTTTAGAGCTGTTCTTACACACAGAACCTGGATATCAAAACAGTTCCCTGTGCTGCTCCATCACATGCCACTGTGAAATAGAGGGAACAAGGTCATTTGGGTCAAATGAGCAATTTGCAGTTTTGCTGCGACAAGAGGCGATTTGTTTCTGGGAAGAAAATCAGTCCCAAGGTTAGATATGTACCAACCTGAGGACCAAGTCTCAGTGACCTTGCAAGCAAAAAGCACAGGAATAACTCTGAGATTCCACCTCGCCATATCATTTGCATAACATGTTAACACATTTAGTAGTAAGTCTCCATTTGGCAGCTGATCTCAAGAAATATACTTCTGCTGGTTTGTTCTTGAATTCAGTAGCCCCCAGGGTTTTAAAAACATGTCTTAGATTATCATACAGTTCCAATTTTTGTATCATTTCTGCCTGCAAAAGGACGTGAAAGCTCCAGTAGCACCCAGGTATCTTTCCCTACTCAGCTGCAGTGCAGCGTTCTCCACAAAAACAACTAGGAGCCCAAATGATGTCCCAAGCCTGCTGATCACATGCCAAAAGGTACAACACCTAGTGAGACCCTATTTCGTGTAGGCAGTAGTACTGGAATTAAAATCAGGTCTCTGAATATGCCATGTAACATCATAAATCCTCTCCTTCCAATATGGAATATGTACAGCCAAAATGCTGAACTGCGCTGAACCCACTTCAAGCAAAGCACCACTGAACGGATTTCAAGCATGGCCTCAGTCGTCAGTAGGAACAGCCTGGACACGTTCTGTTCAAAGAGAAGCGTCTCTGTTTGACACAGCTCTCATCCAACACGGAACATCTTCCGTACTGACACGAGCCCTGTGCTGCGCATGCTGCCCCAGCTCTTCAGATGCACCTTGGAGGACAACCAGCTTTGGGACAACTCTGCTTCAGCTGGCAGGAATTTAACTGGGACTGAAGCAAAATCCAGAGGCGTGTGCTTCTAGGGAAACCCAAATCCCCTTGGGAGTACTGAAGTGCCAGAATGCCCTGCACAAGGCGGGGCAAGTTGGGCCACTACCTGCAGGCTGCCTACGCTCCATCCAGCACATGGTCACGGAAGGCAGACAGAGGTTTGCTTTTAGGAGGGGAGCAGTGGTAGAAAAAAAATGCCGAGCTGCCTCCAAACCGCCAAATCTGTGAGCAAGTCCAGCTGCGGTCAGGCTGCACCCGCTAAGTTCCCGTGCTCTCAGGAAACTGGTTGCCCTGCAGGAATGTCATTACAGCTGGGTTATGAGCAGGGCATGTGACAGCAGTTACAAGCTGTCATTCCTGACCATGAGAGCATCTGCCTGGCCCACATGCTCTGCACCATGGCACATGCCCAACACGTGTGCGTTTGACATAGTCAAACCAGTTCCTGGAACCAGGGAACGTGTAAAGCCAGAAAATCTGGAGGTGAGAAATGGGAGGCACACCTGTTCTTAGTTACCCAACAGCTTGTCAACTCCAGGAGCTTGCCCTCAGCCAGGGAACATTATATACGTACTGGCATAGATCAGTCTGTGAGTGTCTGATGGCCACAGTATCACTTTGCAGACATGGCCTTAGTAGTAGCAGCAGGCATTACGCATCACTCAAGAACAACACACAGCTCTAGAAGACACCCCTGTATGTAATTTAGCTTTCCATTCTCTTTGGAAAACAAGGTCATTTTGTTCTTTGCAATTAAAAAAGTGCAGGAAACAAACAACTTGAATTTCAACAATGGGCTGAAAGCTACCACTGGCCTTCAGGGAACCCATCTCACAGCGGGGATCAGCGCACTCCTCTTTCACCGATCCCGATCTCTTTGCCACACACAGCTCCGCAGTGTTGAAATGGCTGCAATGCTCCACTGCTGTGATCCTTTAATCACATTTTTACAACTAACACTGCAACTGGAAATGTGAACCCAGTCTTACCCAGAGGCATACAGCAGGCCCCTTAAAGTTAGAGTATAAGCAGTCCAGGTCTGGCACCATTAACATTTCTAATCTGCACACTGACTTACTGGTTTGATGGAGCACAGTTCCCAGTAACAAAGTAAAAGGAATGATGCAATGTATTCCAAGGTAATAACTCTATCTCTTCCCATTCCCTTTCATTTTTTTCGCTGGATTTGAAACTTTACAGCCTGCCATTGCAGGCTTCAAGGAGAGGCTTCTGTCTTCCTCAGCTGCTTTCTCTGGGCTCCATCCCCTTTGGCACAGTTCTTCGTCCCTTGGTTCCTTAAGCCCCTGAAATACCACACATATTTTGGAACTAACTGCTCAGGCTTCACTGTGGCAGGAATAAGGAGTCTGGAATGCGATGCTGCAGTAAGTCCAAGAGCGCTGCCTTTACTGAAGTTTCCTGCAGGTGTTACTCATGCACACCCCTCATTTTAGGTCAGCCTTGAAAACCACATCTTACTCTCAAATTTTGATAGCCTCAAGGGGGTCCACACTGCTAAGAACGGCATAGGACATTTGGAGCCGAGTTCATCTGCCTAGGTCACAGGCCTAGGAGCACATCAGCCCTTCCTGTTACTCACATGCAAGCCCATACAAACCAGAGGACATTTTGAAAGTCAGCGGGCCACCCATTGCTTTTGGATCCCCTCAGTCTTTCACAGACTCTTCTGTTTACGAGCATCCCAACCATTCCTGCAGCTGCACAGAGCTCCCTGCCCTTGTGACAGCCCTGCCTCACGAGGCACATGCTTTTCCTGGAGGGTGCTGTGCCGATTGACTAACACAGTGTGTGTCTGGCACCACAGGCTCCTTCGGGGCACAACTGCTGGCTGATACGCGATTTTCCGGATCTGGCCTGTATTATGTTCATTAAACAGGTTAATAACAAGTTCACACATCATGAGCACTATTCAGGAAATGCTTTATGGCAATTTGGGTTCTGGACAAAAAACTAATACCACATCATATTTTTTAATTGCCTTTGCAAGCCTGTCTTTTTACTAGATGTTCTAACCACTGCCACTTGCAGCACGAGACAAAGATATCACTCAGGTACTAGACCCAAACACATAATGGGACTGGCTGCCTTTACTGACACAGGAAAGAAAATGCACAGTTTACAGTAAGAGATAGTGAGAAAGAATCCATAAAGACCGTACCTTTGGAATAGGAAATTGGCATTCCCCTGAGCAGTAATAGGCGTCAAAGGACTTAGGGGAAATAATCCACTCGCTCCAGCCGATGTCTGCAAAATCCACCTTGAGATAGCGCCGGGCACAATACCTTGGTTCATTCCACTGCTTCCTCCTCGCCTTCTTCAGCGTTTGCTCATCGAACTGGAGAGTCTGGCTCTTCTGAGGATGATTCTTCCTTTGTTTTTTCTTACTCTTGGCCCTCTCTGCTAACGGCGGTTGGAAGGTTTTATAAGGTTTTCTGTCTTCCCCTCTCTCCTTCTTGCTGTACCAGTACTCGGCTCCCGGCAGCTCGTTATTCTGCAGTGGCAACAGGATGTTTGCAGAACGTTTCCTCCGGTGCTTCCCAAGGCTGCTCCTCACATGGCTTTCTGGCTTGGGAAAGACTCTTGCCAGAGGATGACGATGTCCTCGCAAAGTTGAGATGACACTCTCGGGCTCTGAGATAGCAGAATCATTGGCATAAATCAGGATGTAGGGTTCACAGCAAGAAGATGCCCTTTCCCAGGGGTGATGGCCAGACAGAGCCATTTTGACGCTGATTAGCAGTTCGTTGTTTTGCTTTGCTTCATGCAGGAGCCGAGTGATATCCTTCCATTGCCAAGAAAGGATGTCCGGGTAAGCAGTGGAGACATTTATTAGGAAATGTCCCAGGCTCCGAGTCTGGTTCCCAACAGAAGGAAAGGCCCAAACCGAAAGACATATCTGAATGTCAGGTCTCCTATGCCTGTGACGAGAGCAGCCACTGGACTGCGAACAGTTCCACTTGACACGCAGTAGATCACCAATATAATAATACACTGAAGCCGACAAGACGTTTTCAGACTCTGTGAGCGATGTCAAGTTAAAAACGTACATTTCCTGGTCTTCAGGCCTCCCTAGAAAAATAAATGCTTAGATAAGAATATGGACATTTAAAGAAGTAATCGAGAAGACACATGGGCTGATCTGACAGCCTTTTGGCCAGATCAGACACTAATCGCGCCTGAAGTTTCCCTTGAGAATAATCAATTACACAGGGTACATGAAATCATTCCACCTAGGACACTTCTTCCATTTTCATGCCAGACCTAGAGGGTATTTACTAATACAGCTGAAGGCAGGCAGACAGTACTTGAGCATCCCCGATAACCAAAAGAAAGTCAACCGAAAATCAGGTTTGTGGGGTGTTGGGGGTGGCACACCCCCTCGCCTCTGTGCAGAAATAGACAAGCCAAGGACAACCCTTCTTCAGAGCTGGGATGTGCTCGTACCAACTAGGAGGGATGGGGGGACAGCAGACATCGTGCCCAGACCCAGGGACAGGCTCCTGAGACAGGCTGGCCTGGGAAACAGATAGGGGGCTCCTTTAACCCCTGCAGAGTGCAGCAGAAGGGGGCGAAGATTTAATTTTTGTTTTAAAATGTCCTGATTGGGCTGCAGGTACATCCATCCTTCAGAGCGAGAGAAATATAGATCCAAATGTTAAGCTGTAAAACCAGGCTGCGTGCGAAAGTCAAATATGGTATAGCTAAGGGACATTCTGCAGCCCCTCAAAGGGCTGGAAACAACCCAATGCATTAGAAAAACAAGGGGATGTAAAAGGAAATGCTTTTTTGACACCACAGTGTGTCAAAGCCCTCTCCAGAGACTGGAAAGACCTTACAGTTTACAGAATTTTGCAAGAGAGCTTCTCTCTTCCAGTATCTTGGGAGGGAGGGGGAGGGGGGTGTTTAGTTGTTTGTTTTCCAAGGAATGACAAGCACAGAGATGCCCATGGACTAGGGATGAACAGTCTCACCATTCTCACCCTCAAAATACCGGGGGAAGTCCCTGCACAATCAAGTGAAAACATGATTTTCTAGTACTGCCAAAGACTTTGACAACATCATATTCTGGTTAACATTCTGTGTGACAACCCGAATGGCATCAGCCGTAGGGAAAGTCCAATGTATTTCCCCCGTGCTGCCCCATTCCCACCCCACAATCCAAGCAGCCTCCTCTCCTAAACATTTCTTTGTCAGGAATATTTCAACTGATACATTAAAAAAGCAGGAACCCGTCCCACAAGAAAGACAGAACCCTTCTCCCCAACATGTCAGATGCACTGCTTCACAGAATTATGGAAAAAACAGCATACATTTTCCTCAGTGAAACAGGGTCAAAACAGTGTCAAGGCCAAATCATTTACAGAAGACACCCTTGTTTACACATTCAGCCCAACCTGATGGCAGAGCACAGAGGTAAGTTCCCAAGAGCTGAAAGCTGATGTCCCAAACCCATCCAATTTCCAGCTATTATTTATGCCCGGAGAACTAGATTTCCTTCCAATTCGATCCTGCTTTTAATTCCTCAAACCAAAACTGGCTGTCGGTTACACTTGTGCTAAGCACACATGAGGACCTGACCTCTGCTTTATTTATAATCACTAATGGAATAAGGTTAATAAATAATTTGGCAGAGCACTGAGTACATCAGTCTTAGAAAGCAGAATTTATGGTGTCCCGTAAGCACCTGTTAAGGAAGTTATTATTTAAATCATTGCTGTTAAGTTGACTGACAAGTTTGGATTTTAATTTTTAGTAAGAATTCCACTTAACAAATCCTGCCTGGAACACTGTAGCCCAAAACAAAACAAGCTGCTTTTGTTTATAAAGAAATTCTAGATGGCAAGGAATCCACAGTTCTGGTTAAAATCCCATGCCAAGAGAAAACACTTCCAGTAGATGGTGCTATTTTCCTACAAAAAGACCTCCAAGCTCCAGCGGCTCCGAGTTCTCAGCTCTTCTTATCAGCAAAATCATCTAGTGGTCAGCACAGACATCCATGGATTCAACGGCTTACACCTCAAGAAACCCAACTGCATGACCTGGGTTTGCATCACAACTTGGGAATATAGTGTCGAATAGGTCCCTTGTGCGACACGGATACCTGACTCCCAGATGTGAATGTGAAATAAGTGTTCCCCAGGCTTAAAAATGACAGGCATGCAAGGAAGATTCATCTTTAAAATAGCTACAAATGCACCTTCTCCTCAGAAAGATTTCCTTTCATTTCAATGAAACTTTGCCCTTGAGCTCTGAGGACAGACTCTGCCGGAAATCTTTCTGCAGGATAAGATTTAAGAAGAAACAAGCAAAGAAAAAAGTACGTGCTACAGAGCTATACACTGCTACCTTCTACACATCATGAGGCCAGATTTTAGCAGCAATCTCTGCTCCCCTCCACCTCGATATTGCTGCCAGCCTGATGAGGAGTTTTCGAGACCAAGCTCTGTGTGACAGAGCTCTTTTGAATGGCAATAGGTAGGACACAGCTCGACTGCGCCGTTAGCACGACTCGCTTCCACAGCGTCGCGCATTGGAGCAGCAGCCACGAGCCGAGGAGGATGTGCCAGTGTTCGTATTCACAGAGAATAGCATCTGGCAACTACGTGCCGTTGCACAGAAAGGCGACCGGTTTGTTGACCTCCGTGGCCCATAGGCAACTCTGTGTTCACCTGTGCCTTATCCAAAATGAAACCTTATCCAAATGAAGCTCAGAGCCCAGCAGCACCGTGGTAAAGCTTGTCTCAGGACATCACTTCCCAGTCTCCTGCACAAGTGACAACAGGGCTCTCTAGGAGGGGGCGAGACGAAAGGTACAAGTCTCTCCAGGCCTAAAGCACGAATGCCTTACTCTGCGTGTGTGCTGGCACTCCCCAGAGTGGAGTACCAGAGATGCCACATTATATACTGACAACTCAAACTCAGCTCACGGCACTGCAGCTGAAACGTGTACCTGCTGGACGTTCAGGGGCACAGCCCGTGCTTCCTCACCTCCCTGCACCAACCCACAGCTGCAAGGACAGCCTGTGACTGGCATTAAAAAGGTATTTTTAAGGAAGTGCAGTGCGTCTGTGGAGACAAACGTGGGCAGCGTGAACAGATTCACATCACAAGGGGCACTTCAAGGCATCAATAACCTGGAAGGAGTCTGTTACCACGTGGCGTATTTATCTTTATAGAGGATGCCCTGACATTTTTAGGGACTGCCAAATCTATCCCATGGGTGAAAAAGGATGCAGTAACGAGGACTATTTAGTTATACAGTCACCACGAGCCATCATTTAAAAGATATTAAAGATATTAAAGATATTAAAGTGGTGCCCTTGTGTTAGGGCACAATTAAGAACTTATCAGTGTTTCCACTGTAAAACTTTGTTTTCAGGGGTTCACAGCCCAGCTACAAAAGTTCACTCAGAGCTGGAAATAGGAACAAGTTCCCAAACAGGAACACAAATCTGGAAGCCAGATTTTCTCTTTTCTCTCACCTTCGCTCTTACTCAACTGCTGCTTCCCAGTTACCAACTAGTGTACTGCGTAAGAGAAAGATCTAGGATGTGGTTCTCTGTTTTCAAAGAGCATCGGACCTGGTGCCAAACTAGTTTTACTAATTCCTTTAGCAAAGCAAGTAAGGTCACATGAGCTAGCAACTGGACATAAAACAGCAGCAAGTGCACCACTCTGATTAAAGCCATCAGCTGCTCAAATAAAGAACTTTTCTAGAAGCAGCAGTGGTGCATGCTAAGGACCTAACTTACACGTGGATTTCATGATATGAAAACCACAAATCTGCACACTGCATATCGTAAGTGTGCTGCACAGTGGTCACAGGAACTGTCTTCTATACATTTTAAGCAGAAAGACCACAGCAGGGTGACAACTAAACACAACATCTAACTGGAAGCTAGCACAAGCCAAGCAAGCTAAGGGGGTGCATGCACAGAGTACACAAATCTGGGCACAGAAAGAGCTGAGCACATTCCCCCTCATAGCTGCGATTCATTCCACTTCAGCTGGTGGCAGCAGGCTGGTTGTGTGAAAACCAAATCGTGCACAGCCTTTGAGACCAGAGCTCTTCGTGCTGAAGCAACGTGCTCTAGAAACTGTGACTGGCTGGGCACTGTGAGCACAGGCCACCCACACGCACAACACCACTGCGAGACAGGTCGTGACAGAAGCCAGAAAATTCAAATTCTGGGTCTGGTCCTGAGAGGCTGAGCCTGTAGATCCTGCCCATTTGCCTCAGAGGAAGTTTGCAGATTTGGGCCTGTCTGCCCAAATCATAGTTTAATATTTTTCAAGTTCCTCCTGCCTAAAAACTACCAGGATGCTTCTGCTTGCACTTTATTTATAGAGGTACAACAAAAAACCCTAAAACAACGAAAAACCCGGCCAAAAAAAAAGTTGAAACAAAAAACAAATCTCAAAACCCCACACTCTGTCTCCTGACTGAATGTTTTTAAGGCTCTCGTTGCAAAAGACCCCTGATGTTACTGGCACTCAGAGGGGCCAGCATTTGGCCCAGACTGGTTTCTGCAGGCTGATGGCAACTCCTGAGGTGCTGCTTGCCCTGTGCAGTGCTTTGTTTCCCTGGTCTCCGTGGGCACTTCACACCACAACAAAGCAAAGAAAGGCCTTTAGAAAGGGAGGAGAACATAGCTGTAAAACCACAAGAATTGGCCTAGGGGCAGGTGTAATACCTGAAATTACTAGAAATTCAGTCAATAAAAAAGAGTTTAAAGTAATTTCTCTTGCTATAACATCATTAGCGGGACCTTCCAACTCAAGTCAAGTTTTTTAAATGACTCATTTGCAAGACACGCTCCTTAAGCAATGCTCAAATTAAAAATGCTTTCAGAAGCAAGCCTAGTCTGCTTTTGAGGCTTTTATCTTTCCACTCTCTTTCTCTCTTTTATTTTTTCATGCTGTGCCTTTCCTCCTCAGCCTGGACAGAGAATCAGCTTACCTCCAAGGGAAGTGCTGAAGTAAGCAGATTTCTGTCAACCGGAGGTCAGGTCACTCTCAGGAGAAAAGAACGGCTGAGCGTAGACACTGCTGCACAGACGGACCCGCAGATTCAGAGTTCCCTTGCCAAAATCACCCAAGCCTTCAGCTCTAACTCACATATCGTCTGACCCTTCCTCCTACGTGTCCTTTAGAGTCACAAGGGATGAAAACCACTCACTGCTGTGGCACCTGCAGGTGAAGGACTGGAAAAGCCCTGCCCAGAGCAACACAAGGGCTGTTTCTGTCATCCTTGCAACAATGACAAGAGCTGACACAGAAATCACAGGACTCAAACACACAGAAACAAATTAGAGCCTCTCTGGACTCAAACACACAGAAACAAATTAGAGCATCTCTGGACTCAAAAACACAGAAACAAATTAGAGCAGTTAAGTCCAGGAGAGAGAACGCTGCAATGAAACTAAATGCCCTCTGAAAGGGGTACATCGTTACTTCACTCCGCTTGGATTTGGAGTCTGGGGTTTCTTTTCAGCTTTGTCACAGGCAGCCAAGATTCCTTTTTTGAGTGATTCAAACTGAACAGTTCTGCTATGAGATAATTGAGCAGGATTAATGAAAAACAAATTTGCCAGAATAAATGATCGTCTAAACATTCATCAAAACCAAAGGCCAAAACCCTGAGGCCAAACAAGCAACCTTTGATACTCCAGCCTAGTCACGAAATCTGGTGCACAAGAGATTTCAGGGTAATGTGGGATGGAAACTTCAGAGGTGCTGCACTGCGCTGCAGCTCTCATCCCATCCCCTTGGAGGACTGAGCCACAGAAAGAGCAACTTGCATTTAAGTTTTTAGGATGCTTGATTTGATTAACCAGTCTTACTTGTTTTTTGTTGGCTATTGGTTACAAGGCTGCAGCTGCCACATGTGACACCACTGTTCTTTGATCAGAAACAGGATGACTTTCAAACAAATCCTACAAACTCTTGGTCTCATCATACAACATCTATTTTCCAAGGTCTCAAACACTTGTACGGTGAGTTACCTGGGAAATCCAGGAAAGGCCTTTCCCCTGTGCCACATAAGAACCAGGAGCCCTGGAGGGGTTTCACAGCCACATTTGAGAGCGCTGTTGCAGAAAAGAAAGTTTCTCTCCTGAAAATATCAGCTTAAATTGCAACGTTAAACTGCAAATGAAACCACTGAAGATTTGCTTCAAAGCCTCTTGCTATAGATGCTGGGGAATCCCCAGATTCTTGGGGAGCTCCTGCTCATGGCAGACAAAAACCTGAGTCCTGAGGGAGTTAGTAACAGAGATGGTAAAACATAAAGGAGTAACAGTAACACGATGTATTCAATTAACTGATGCAGTCCCACTAAGGACTGGGGGAAGCCCATGAGAGACTAAATTCGGAGCCAAGGGGTGCAACAATCAAGGCAGAGGATCTGGAGACAAAGCACCTCAAAAGGGGAATAAGGTGAATGCACCATTTTCATCGCAGGGCTGGCCAGGCAGTCAGGCACAAGGAAGGAGTCAGAAACCAGAGAAAGCCTTTCCGCTCCACCCACCATCCTGATGAACATCTGATCTAAGGGTTTTCTGGAAATGTGCTTTTCTGCCATCAGTAACCACACAAAACGAGTTGCTGCTGCCTATGGCAAGAGAAAGACAACCAACAGTTAAATCTGTTGCAGAAATACTTATTAAAGTGTCAAAAAACTTATAATCAGTTTATTGCTCTGGCTGTTGATCTGTAGAAGTATCAGATGAAGAGGAAGGGCATTAGCGAGCAGTGTGTTTATAGGACTGCTGGCACCCAATGTCAAGTGAGAGTACAAGTCATGTTAGGAAGGCAAGAGGAAGTTCCTCTGTAGGAGCAGCAGCCGGGGAGTCCCAGGTCTCCATCCTCCAAACTCAGAGTATTTATACCTCTAAAGCCGGTTCTGTGGACAGAAATACTTGCAGGACCATGTGATGGACAGCACTTGCAGGGCTGAACCCTAAGACACCAAAGCCACTCAGTGCCTCATGGTATTTGATCTCTCTGCAGAGCTACTTTAGGAAAGACATTGTTGCCTTTGAAAAAGCAGAAGTAATGACCCACAAAGAAACGTAAAGGAAGCCTGGCACCCAGCTCTCTTTCAAAGGAGAGGAAGGAATCAAGGCAGGTCACTAAAATTCCCAGACAACTCTCGGTTTTACTGATAGATGCTTGTTCATGAAAAATCTGCTGCATCAGTCCACTGGTGTAATGCAAAGTAAAGGACTGGCAGATGGGGCTGCGTGTGTGGCATTACAGTTGTCATACACAGTACAAGGTTTTGGCATGCAGTGGATTTGGGAAGGACATCCCAGCAATGGTCACTTTTGGGTTCTGGCAGTTCCATTTAGCCCTTGCAGAGCTCAGATGCACAAATGGAGCACCAAGAGCATCAAGACAGTGAGATCTTCCCTTTTGGCTAGGACACAGCTCTTTTGGAATGCTGATATGTTAAACATCCCCCTCCCCCGTTATGAAAAATGATTTTACCTTTTTGCCAATCTATCTGGGCACGTCAGTCTGTAATCACAGAGATATCTAAGCGCCACTGCCAAAGATGCCAAGATGCAGTATTTACCATGCTCAAATCACGCTCCGACTGAACTCTTCTGTCACTGCCTCTAATTGCCAGTACTATCTCCACTTCTCAACGTTAGAACGCTGCAGATAGTCTGAAGTATCACCAAACCAGGCCCTTGGTTCAACAGAAGCTACACATGCAAAACACCACTAACGGGAGACTGTGGAGACGATATGTTAATAACTCCACCTCCCTCACACTGTACTCGGCAGCGATGCTACATGCAGAGCTGAAGCAGCAAGGTAATAATTAAAGTGACACAACGTAAATAGAATATCTTAAAATACACAACAGTCCTCGCAGGAAGCGATACTTTAATCCTTTCACGTCCTCTTCCCTCCACCGAGCTCCCCGGGCACTACCCCTGCGATGCTCTGACGCGACGTCTGGGGACACGGCACGGCCCCGGCCGAGGCGTGGGGCTGCCCCGTGGCCGAGCGCTGCCCGTCAGGAGCCAAGCCCTGCCCTGCCGGGCCCCCCCTCCTCGCCCGGCCGCGGCGCGAACTCACCTGTCGGCAGCGGGCGGAAGCCGCGCACCGTGTTGCCCCGGGGGAGCGGTGGCCCTACCGGCGGGTGCCGGGTCCCCCGGTACTGCTCGTAGAGCCGCAGCATGTGCTCCGCGACCCTGTCCGCCGCCGGCAGCCGCCCGTGCCGCCGCTGCCCCGGGCCGTCGTCACCTGCGGCCGCCCGGGCGCTGCCGTCCCGCACGTCCCCCGGCGCCGCCCGGCGCCGCAGCCCGACCCGGCACGGCCGCAGCGCGTCGGCCGGCGGCAGGCACAGGCAGCTCCAGCCCAGGCACAGGCACAGGCACAGCACCCAGCCGGCCGGCGCCGCCATCCTGCCCCTCTGCCCCGGCGAGCGGCGCCCGGGACCCCACGGTGCGGCCGGGCGCGCTCGGGGCAGGCGCGGCCCCCGACAGGCGCAGGCGGGGCTGCAGGGAAAGCCGCGGACGGGCTGTCCTTCACTTCTGGGGAAGGAAGAAAAAGGGGAAAAGCGGGGCGGAGGAAAGCGCCTCGGTCTAAACCGGCCGCCTGCCCTCCTTCCCTCCCTTCCCGGTGTGGAGTGAGGGGTTTTATTCTCGCCCGTGCAGGTTGTTGTCGGGGGAGAGGCGGCGGTGCTGCTCCTGGCGCGGCCGGTGCTCGCTCCCCGCTCCCGGTGCAGCCCCGCGCCGTGCAGAGGCGCTCGGTGAGGGTGTAACCGCGGCGATCGCCCCGCCCGCCCTCGCTCCGGCGGGGGCGAAGCGCGGGGAACCGCCACCACGGGGGAGCCCAGCGACAGGACGGAGGGAGGGGAGGCTCTGGAAACTCCGTCCCCCCGGGCGAATGGGGAATGAGGCGGAGGACGTTCGCCTGCCCGCCTCCAGCCAGCCCCTCCCAAAGGCCGTAGAATAACGTGATTGCAATAAAACAAAAATTACGAGTCACACCGCACTCACCCTTCTCCCTTGGAACGTCTCACGGCTTGGTTGGGCGCAGAGCATAGTCCGCCGCGGGCAGATGGAAAGGATGCTTCCCGGGCTGTGCTGGGGTTCTCCCTGCCTCTCCAGAATACCAGGAGTACCAGGTCACGCTCAGTGACCCTCGGCTTCCTCCTCCGTCACCCTCCAACCCGGACGGGGCTAGCATAGGTGTCCCCAGCAGTCTCGAGCCCACAGAAAGGGACATGCACCCAGGGAAATCCTGCACATGAGGACAACTCCACTACAGCAGTGCATAGCAAGGTGTTTCTTAGCTGGGACGATTCCATGTGCCTCCTGCGTTTGCTACCTTTCAGCACCAAAAGGACAGAAATATCTCACTCCCCTTACCAGTGCCACAGCATCACACAACACCCCATCAGGTATGACACCGTCCCTTCCGAAATCCTCTTCTCAACACAAAGGGTGCCTCACCTGTACATCTGGCTGGGAACACAGGGGAGGTAGAAGAGGAGCCTTGTTAAATTGTCACCATTTATAAATGTTTCGGTTTCTGAACCACAGAAGGGAAATAATAAGATTAACCTGCAGATCAGTACATGGAGCTTAGCATATAGTATTTCCAGCATAGGCCATTCACATTTTCAACATGCTACAAAAAGTGTGTCATTATCCAGCCCCAAATACAACACTGCAATATATTCTTCACTGCCCCTCAAATTCCACTGAATTTAGGATCAGTAGCAAGTACTGTTATGAAGTTGTAATAAGACCATCTGTAACTACAAGAGGGAAGTGGCCACCCAGGAAGAGAGAAGATTCCCAACAGCAGAGTAATGATTTTTATATGCTTCTACATTTGAGGACTCAAATACAAACCACTGCAGTAGTGACTCATTTTCATACAGTTCTGAGGCACCAAAGCTGCCATATGCATCTCAAAATATTGTCCACAGATATGCAAGCACACACAACATCAGTATCAATGCTTATAGTACAATTAACTATACTTTTCACTTCCCCATGTAAAAATGTACATTAGTGCAATACAGAAAACAAACTGTCCCAAGTGAACATTCATAATTAAAAGGCGTGATTGAGTTTTTGAACAAAAGTAATAAAACCAATGCAGATCCCTGCAGAAAGAAAACACACTTATTTGAACTGATGGCTACAAAAATCAGCACAAGCAGCAGTCTCTGGCTAATATCCTTGGCCGAACTGTCAATCCCAAAGAAGAATCTTTATGCATCTGAAATACTGGAATTGCCATTTCAAGCTTCATTCATGTTACTTCCCACTGTCAAGAAAAGCAATAATAAAAAGAAACCCCAACCAACAACACACTAGAACTCTTTAAATAAAACAGGCATAACTGAATCCTCTTCTATACCTACAGTGCCAAATAATGTGCTGTAAGAATGTCATGTTTTGCATATCTCCAACACATCTTCCGAGCTGGGGCCTGACTCTTGAGATCAGACCACTGTAAATTGAGAACGACTTAAAAAAAATAAAATAAGTCCTCAGAGACAGCAGGTATCTAACACCATTCTCAAGCAAAGGGGGTTTAGTCAAGAGCTAACCTAAGTTCATCGAAGAAGTTCAAGCACCCCGTGGCTGAGCTTTTATTTAAAATCTTTTAAGTGTTAGCAGAAAGCCCTGTTTACGCAAAATTAAACCCATATTTGGCTCTCAGAGCCTTGCCCCGCCACCTGACTGCAGTTGTTTAAGTTAAGTGTCTAATTTAGAAAGTTAGCCCTATACAACCCTGTTACAGCCAGAGAGGAGAGAGAAAGAGGACTCTAAGTGTGAGGCATAGAGGAAAGAGTGAGTTCTCAGGGCATGAGAAGCCTTCTCCAAATGCCCCTTGTCAGACGGCCGCTGCAGTTTTCTGAGCGTGCCGCACAAGAACACCCTTGCTTTATGGATTGTCCCAGTGAATGGCATGACACTCATTACATGGAATTCTGCAACTCCCAAAGTTTAAAGATATTCCCCTTTCTGCAAGATTTTTAAATGCCGGAGCCCTGCGAGCACACAAACCAAACCAAACCAGAGCACATAGGAAGTTACTCTCCATAGTGAGTGATGGCTGAAAAACTCTCAGACCTGACCTCTGAGGGAACAGTGCTTTTGCACTTCTCTGCTACTCCTTTTCTGTTTCTTCTACAGAAGTGCTGCAAACCACAGTTATCAACATATCTCCTCCCTCCCAGCTACAGCCTGTGCAGCTCCAGGTGGGTCTGCAGACCCTGCTTCCTCCCTGTTGGGCCCAAGCATCTCCACGCTAGCGCAGCTCCATCCCAATCCACCGCGGAGTCTCTGATCGGTGAAGCAACCTGGCCTTTTAATACCTTAGTCACAGGCACACAGCAGGCTTCAATGCAAACAAAGTTTATTTAAATGGTAGGCAAGTCCTGTGCCATTGTCAGCACCAGCCTCACTACCCTCCAGCAGTGCCTTCAAAACTGCTATTTAAAAACTTCCACCAAAAACCTTCCAGGTTTCTAGTTTTTCAGAGCTTGCCACAAAATGTGCAACGTGGTAACTTCATAGTTACTTGTTGGCTTCACACAAGCACTCGGAAGTCCCAGGGAAGAGGAAACCACAAATACTCCTTTTAGGGGAAATGAAATAATTACATATTTGCATAACAAAGTGATATTAGTGAAATCTGTTCAGCATGTGAAGACCAAACTCACTCTTGTGCTATTAGTTGCCTGGCTCTCAGCCTTTGCAGAATTCACTTACCAAAGCAATCTCTGCTGCTGTGGCTCCCACATCCCAACTATTCTGGCTGTCATCTGGAGAATTCCCCACTGCAGCTCTGCCTCGGCTGCCTAGTACCCCCTCTGCACATCTTCTTGGCTGTCTGAGATGGGCTTCTGTGTGCTCTGCTCTGGCAGGGCTCCTCACACTGAGTCTTGAGTCAGTGATGCCAGCAGTATGTTCCCAGCCCCACAAAGTCACCCCACTCTTACCAGGCCCAAAACCCCTGGCTAAGGTGTGTTGTCCTGCCTCCAGTGACCTCATCTCTTCTCCCTGGGCTTGGTCTGCTCCACAGGACCACCGTACTCTGGGACATATCACTCCCCTGCGTCCCTGACACACGTGTTCCGTGTGCACCACCACATACAGCTCGTGGCCCACACAGGAGAACACTGAGCAGCACGTCATCACGCAGTGCATGAACCGTACAACACAGACTGCAGTGCGCCAAGACGGCTCTCCCATTACTGGGAAATGAGGCGATGCGTGCTCCTCGGAATGTCCCCACTCACAGCCCTAGAGACTTACACAGAAAATAGCCTTTTCCTAGGCAGGGCAGGGTGGTAAGCCCATAGCAAATGCCTTTGTGTGCAGCCATTCCCTATGTCCCCTGTGCTGGCTTTGCAGGGCTCACCAGCCAGGTTGGATGTTTGCTCAGGTGGCCAGCAGCAGCCTTCCCACTGGAGGGGCTTTCCAGAAGAATTTCTTCTCTCAGGTCCCAGGATCACATGTTTCTCTCATCACAGAGAACTTGTACTGTGGGATCTGTGTTAATCTGCCTGGAGCTAAGCTGAAATAAAACACACCTCGAGTGAACAACAGCCAAACAACAGGAGCGACGTTCCCCTCCGTGCAAAGCCATGTTCTGCACACACAGCTCGTCTGCACAGCCGCAGTCTGTTCAGCACCTGTGTTTTTGTTTTCCTTGCAGTGGGAATTGTGTCTTGGCCTGCACTGCTTGTCCCTGCCTGCCTTGCAGAGAAGTGCCCAAAGGTTTTAGTCATCTGTAATCTGATTTCTATATGTGGGGAATCAGAGTTAATGCTGCATATTCCCCTACTGCATCTTTCACTGATGGCCAAAAGGAGAACATCTAATGACTTTAGTATTTTAAACTAAATAATAACAACTTTTCTGTGATTCTGCTGGTGGTTGATGATGGAGCTGTTCACCACCAACCTCGTGCTACTTTCCAGCTTCATTCTGTGATCCAAAACAACCACCGCAACAAGAGTTCCCAAAGCTGATGCAAGACCAAAGATCCAGACTCCACACAAAAAGAACAAAACTATGATTGTGGTGGGGTGCTAAAGAAATATAAAGGACTACGAAACATATACAGGCTAATCAAATCTGTAGACCCTAACTTGTGCACACAGTTCAGATGTGCTCGAAAAACACCCACAACTCTCTCCACTGGCCAAAACTCTTGAGATGCCCGATATCGGTTCCCTTCGGGCAGCGTGCAAACACTGTACCTACAGTAAATGTCACAGTTGGTGAGGATACTAAAATCTTCTTTAAGAAGAGAATGGAGACACTTCCATTCACGTAATGTTTACAGAAAGCAATAACTTTGGATTGGACAGTTTGCATTTGTTTTTGCTAAAAAGCCATAGGGCATTAAGAACATGCACAGGAAGCTTTCATGTGGTTATTGGTCCTTGGAACACTTCTCTCCTGATTACCATGTGCTTTGTATGTCCACTTCACTTGTGTCTACTCAGGGCTGAGCAGTGACAAAGTGCTGGGAACAACCCTCAGTGACATTTCAGGAAGATGGAGCGTAACATCATTGAGTTGCTTTTACTCACTGTCTTTGTCTAAGAAAATTAACCTTTCCTACAGAATGCAAGCCAGCCCACAGTAGGGTTT